AGCTGCCCCACCAGACCCCACTCCTTTACATCCCTCCAAGGGGGCTTCAAGTAGCCCCTGATGGTCCTTTCTGCCCAGAGCTGCTGCTTGCATGTGCCCTTCTCCTCCCTCCTCCGCTCTGCCTGTGCTGCCCATGGGACAGCCCTGCTAACGGCTCCGCTCCTCCCACAGCCTGGGTAGCTACGCGGCGCTGCACGGCGAGTTCTACTGCAAGCCCCACTTCCAGCAGCTCTTCAAGAGCAAAGGCAACTACGACGAGGGCTTCGGGCGCAAGCAGCACAAGGAGCTGTGGGTGCACAAGGAGGTGGAGAGCAGCACCAAGTGAGCGCGAGCGGGGCCGGCCGCCCCTGTCCCGGAGCCCCGTCAGAGCCACGCTGAGCCAGGGGCTAACTGAGCTGATGTAAAGCAAAGGCGACCACGAGCTCGTGGGCAGGAAGGGCAAGGAGGTGGCCTGGGTGCAGGCTCTGGGCCTGTGGGGGCATTTGGGCTTTCAGGAGGGTCCCGCATGCCTTCTGACAAGGATGTGGCAGAGGTTACCAGGGCCCAGCCCCAACCCCAGAACCCTCCCTGCATTTCTTGCCCTGATGAGATCAGCCCCTGCAGGACTCTGGTCCCCTTCCCACCTGCAACCTCAGAGGAGGAGGAGGGGAGACTTGAGGGCTGCCAGAGCCAGCTCCAATGCAGCCTCTCAAGCTCTGTGGGCTCCTGCGTGTCCTGGGCGAGCTGCTCTCGCCTCGCTGGGTCTCCCACTACGGGGGACCTTTGGTTTGCATCAGCTCAGTTCAGCTGGGATCATTCAGCCTTATGGATGTTGCGACTGTTCAACAGTGTCTGTCTTTTTTATATTTGCCTTTCATTGGTACGTTTGGCACTGGAGCCTGGCACGGTGGCTTCACGTGTGCCACCGCACCATGCGCTCTTTTATTTTTGTAATACAAGGTTTTTGAGCCTTCCCTGTCTTGTCCTTTGTTCCCGGGGCCCTGGAGAGGTGGGTGCAGGGGTTAGGACTTGTCTCCTTCCAGCCAGTGATGGTGAACAGCCTCTGCCAATGAAGGATCAAAACAAGTAGTCCTGAGTGTGTGTTTAACATCACGCTGGAGATGGACGGTTCTGCTGGGGACTGACTCAGGACTTCACCCTGTCCATGAGCCAGGGACAGCAGGTGGATCTATTTTAGTGATTGTTTAGCTCCCTCCTTCCTACACAACTGTAAAACTGTCTTGAATCCTGTGCAATTCAGCACATTGAGCACAAGAGCAGCAAGCACTCACCATGCTGCAGAGCATCTCGTAGCCCTGCTTGGGGTCTGGCCCGTTCTCGCAGCAGAAATCGAAAGCAGCCTCCTCGATTTCGCTTCCTGTTTCTCTCTGGCTTCACTTCCCTGTCCCCACACGCTGGCAGGGGCTGCTCCTCTCTGCACTGCAGGGAAATTACATGCAACGCTCAATAAGTGATGCTTGAAGAGTCTGGGGTGGGGAAAGGAGGAAAAGAAAACATAGCTTCTAGATTTTGGGCCTCAGGTACCCTAACAGGGGGCTCCAGCAAGCAGGGCGGTGAAGCAGGTGACTATCAGCACTACTACAAGATTCACACAGAGGTTAAGGAAGGTTCTACCCAGCCCCTTTTCCCAGCACGGCTGCTGCCTCTGAAGCAGCTGATGGCAACGGCTGCTTCCCTGGCCAACACGCAGGGGAGCTTGGGTGGTAATGCAGACGGGAAGGAGTTTTAAACCACACTCTGGGCTTATCTCACCCGCCTGATGATGAAAGGTGATGCACAAATGACAAAGCACCATTTCCCAGGAGSAGCGGGACAGGACACAGACCTGTTTAGAGCAAACACTGGCACTTCACACTGCAACATCCTCGCTTGCCATGTCAATCCTTCAGCAAGTGCCATTGCTCCTAATCCCCTCTCTAGCAGCCCAAACCAGTGCCAGGCTGGTGCTGAAGGCGTTCAGGTGCTCAGGATGCTCAGCCTCCCCCGCCAGCACAGCTGCATGATCCAGCAGGGAAAGTAGCTCCGAGGGCAGCAGGACCACAGCTTGTCAGCAGCTACAACTATTTCAGCAATCCCTGCTGGCTTTATTGCTGTTTTGCACGGGCCAGCAGGCAGCTGGATGAGAATATCCTGCTCCCCCTGCTGAATCTTGGCGACACACAGAACTGCAGAGCACAGCAGTGCGCAGCACCGTGCAGCTGGACATAGCATGGCGCACGAGGCCACGCAGGGACCGAAGCCGGCGGCGTTTGACGCACGGGCCCAGAGCGAGGCCRAGAGGTGCTACAGACCTCGCCAAGGAAGCTGCTCCCACCCAGGCGTGCCAACATGAACGACCCCAATATCCTTCCAAACAGCATCCTTGTCCTTGCGGTGGCTTCTTCGTGTTGCTGAAGCACAGAGCAAGAAGCGTAGCAGCTTCGGAGAAAAATATCCTGGGAAAAGGAGTTGGAGCAGCAGCAAGAGCTGCAACTGAAGCTGCTCACAATGCAGCCTGACAAGACAGCAGAGCCAGAGCCAAGATCAGCTGCTGTTACCTACCTGGCTGTTGGTTGACAAACTAACCCTTTAGAGATCCTAAAATCCAAGTCAAGAGACTCATGCAATGAAAGATCATTTTGGGGAAAATATTAATACTCTGTATCTATCTATACCATCCAGATGTCCAGTTTTGGACAAGAAAGAGTGTGTTGGGCAGAGATCAGCACTAGAAGAACAAGGGACATGACAGCCAACTGTGCCAGCATTTCTTAGAGAAAAAGCAAGACAACCACACTCAAGCAGGATTAAATCCAGAAAATACTGTTCCTAGATTAGGCTTTACTATCCCAATAGAAATGGCTACAGTAGTGTGGTATAACCAGCCTCTTGGAAGATTTTAGTTTACAATTGTGTCAGAACTGCCTGGCACTAGATTTACAGGGAGAGCTTACCTTGAAGTCACCCTGCCCTGCATCACTGTCACATGAAGAAGACACAACCAGAAACCAAAGAGGCAACAGATGATTTTTAGCAGCAATTCCTTTAGGCATTAGTCTTTATTTTTTGTTTATCTGAGCACTGTTACCTTCAACCTCAGCTCTCAGCCATTTCCCAGCCCTTGCTCAACCAGCACCTAAGGACAGGGGAGGACAGGACCAYGCAACTCAGAACTGATGGAAAAGAGCATTAACGTAAGAGCCATGGGGTTGAGGGGTAGGTGTGAGAAAACAGACCCTGCCTTGAGTGACCACACTCAGCAGAAAGGGGAGTGAAGGCACCAGCTGTGGCAGAGCCTCCTAAAGCAGAAGTAAGTGGTTTTCAGGGCCTGCAAGTTTCTAAGCTCCTCCTTCGACAAAAGCAGGATTTTCAGGTTCTAGCACACGCAAGGAGGGCATCAGAAAACAGGGGGAGCTGTTTATTTCTAGCGCCACACAGCATTTTTGCTCTGGGACAGCTTCAATTGTCTGGTTCTCATCTGCTCTGGGACAGCACACAAGTGCCACGCGAGGAGATGTTGCATCTGCTGGAGTTTCTATTGCATCAGCCCATTGACCCATACACTCCTATCTGTTTATAGTTTACATTAACAAGCATTTCAATATTTAATTGGCATAGTAACTTGGCCTAGGAAGAGGAATTACACAGCTGTGGCCAGCATCTCAATGGAACAGGCTGGTATTCACTGCTCAACTGACTAAGATGCTGAAGACAAGGAGCTGCATAAAAGACGATATCAGGGAAAAGACAGCGTTTGAGCAAGAAGTTTCTGAGTGCTATTTCTGTCCTTTCCTAAGATAGAACCCAGGAAAAAAAAAAGGGTCTAAAAATATTTGGAAACATGGTCATCCGTTCTCTTGCCTCATTGTGGGACAGCTATCTCCTCCCAAAGGCCTTGTGCACTCAAGGCAAGACTACATAGCTTCCTCCTTTTCTGCCAGGAGACTCTACTTTGGGACCTTTTTTTCTCCAAATTTTTGTTCTAGAAAGACAAAATAGTAGCTTTAAAGGTCCCTTCTCTCCACCTGCTGATGATGCCCATTGGGTACTAATGAAKGAAGACATTTATGGAGTTGGCCTAGACTACACAGTCCAAATGCAAAACTCATCTTCTCTCCATCAACAGGATCTTCACATGAAGAACCAGTAAAGGTGTCCAGCTACTTTTCTGCAAGGTGACATGAGGTCATTGCTATTTTTACACAATATGACATCAGGGAGAGTGACAGCAAGCTAGATCGATATAGATATACCAGAGAGATATAGATATACCATACCATATATAGATATAGCAGACATATATCAGACAGAGGCAGTCTGGATAGTCCTTGCACAGAATGCACGCTTACCTGATCCAGAAGCAACGCTTCACAGATTGGACATTCCTCCATCTCTGTCAAATAAGTTCCTGAAAAAAAAAAAAAAAAAAATTCTTCCCTCAGCCAAGGCCGACCCCTTGGTTAAGGAGAAAAACTAGTTAAGTGACTTAATCAATCATCTAGAAACACCATTTGGACAGGGAGAGATACTGAACTGCAAGGAACCACTCAAAAGGCTTTCATATAAATGATAATTTTATTGTAAATAAAATGATACATTGGCCTGGCTTTGCACTGCAAGCCCCCGGTCGGTATATATAGACTACTGGTTCAAGGTCTTCTGCACAATCCAGGTTACAGCAATTTCTCCTTGCTCTGTACAGCTTATGCCAGACTCATATCAACAGGCTCCTTTTCGGAATCATCTCCTAGGCACAGCTATCTTTCCAAGTGGAAATTCACAGCTGCGCAGTAGAATCTGCTCCTAAGCAAGTATGGAGTTTAAAGAACTGAAGCCCAAACACCACTAAAACACAGAGGATTTCTTTTTTTTCCCAAAAAATAAAGACACAGGCTGAAGCCTCCCAGCTCCAAGGGCAGGCACCAAGGCTTTTGCCTACCAGGGAGAGCTTGTACAGCAGGATTTATATTTACTGAGGTGCACAAGTTATCTTGGCTCTCTTGGCACTTGAAAATAACATGTGTCACCTGAGCAGGTACCAATTTCCCTCTGAGTCAATTTGTTTTGTTAACTAATGGCAAAGGGAGCTGTTTGCAGCCTGTCTGAGTCCTTTGGAATACTATCCCCTCAAAATGTGTGTGTGTTGGGGGAGGGAAAGCAAAGATAAACTGCTGCAAGTTACAGTAACTACAACAGGCAAAGATCAGATTTCCTGGAGAACAAACGGATAACCTGGAATGCCCAGAATCGTCATACCAAGCCAAAATGCAATGCACGGTTTGCTTCCTAACAAACCTGGTGACAGTGGAATCCCTAATTCTCTCCAGCTCCTTTTCAAAGGGAATTTCAGATGTTTCCCTGCTCAGCTCAGAGTCACGACTGTTTCAGGATAACGGCCAGCTATTTTTTTCTCTTTTTTTTATCGCTCCGAGACAGAATATTCTGCACTTCCACAGTGTTTTCCACTGAGGATCTCCATACGCAATATTCACAGCATCTCCCTCCCTGGACGGAACAGCTGAAAGCATAAAATGACATTTGGGGGGACACAAGAGGTTATTCTCAGSCTGGCACTCCTCTGCTACGCCAAATGATTAATTCCCATGTTTTTAGCCAGTTCTGCCAGGATAAAGAGGCCAGATGTAATTCAATTTAAGGATATAATTACATTTATGCCCATTTCAGACTTCTTTGCAGCCAGAGCCATGTCAGGAGACTGGCTAAACTTGGTATAAACGTAGACTCYAAGTTAATTCACCACAGCAGTGCGCTTGGAAATCCAGATCATCCTTTTCCACAATTRAAAGAGGGTTGTGAGGAAACAAAGATTGCATTTTGGCTTGGCTCTATTTGTTATAAACCATCAGCAAATTCTCTGCAAAACCAGCTGCTTTTTTTTCCTTTTTAAATTCATAAAGGCGTCAAATTCATTTCCCATTCCCCCCCACCCCGTAACAGTCGAGTCGATATATATAAAAATCACCAAATATGATCTTTTACGATATAAATAAAAAAAAAAAAAAGTATGAGGCATCACCGTTTACATGATGTAAAAAGAGCTAAAAAAGAGCGATATAAACTACATTCATAAAAGTGCATCTCCAAACATACAGGTAATGCTTTGGCTTGTTCCTGTGCCGAACGGGTGGCATTGGGTCACGTACTGGAATACAAGAAGCCCAAGCTGGCACCCCATGTTCTCTGTCACTGTACAATTGCTATTTACGTTCCTTAATACAGACTGGGATACAAGTGTATACACAGAGTAGGCACATTTCAGCGTAGGTGGTGGGATTTTTCCGAGAGCTCCCAGACAGGACCAGGAGCTCCGGTGGGGAAAGGACTGAGCCCATCAGATGCTCTTCGCTCTGCTCTGGAACAACCTTTCGTGATACGTATGAGGTAAAAACCATGACAGATCCTGAGGACTGAGTTGCTTCCAAACATTAGGAGTTGCAGCGTTTCCTTGTGCCCTCTTCTCCCCAAACGCATTGGTCTCCTCTGCTGTGGCTCGGCGGCGGGGTGAACTCCAATGAAGAGAAAATTGCAATCTTTGGTATATTGAGGTGCTTGTTTCAAGGTTTGAAGAGTGCTGCCCAGCCTACTTCTAGTCGAGACCCCAGGAATGATTTCACCATTGCAAAACGCTCCCTAGACCAGAGCAATGCCAGGCCCTCACCTCCCTYTGCTACAAGTGGCAATGAAGGACAGACCAGAAGTCAGGCCACAGTGACAATCTGCGAGCAAGTTCCAGGCTTGGGAAAGAGCAGTGGAAGTGCTTTCACTGGCATGAAATAAATTATGGAACAAGGGCTTAAAAAACAAACCAAAAGCAAAAAAAGAGAATTCCTTTAAGTGCCTGCAACCTAAACAGTGCATCCTTGTAGTAGTGCAGGAGAGCCCCAAAGTGAAACCAGTTGAACACCAGTTGCTTTCACTGTGTATACATTGCTCTGAGTTTGGCACAGAAAAAAACACTTCAGATTGTTATGCCCTTCCAGGGCTCTGGTTTTTGCCTTTAAATTCAACACATCATTTATCATGTGCTCAAGCAGCTTTGTTTCATTAAAGTCTCCCTTAGTGTGCTACGAGCAGTCACCTAAAATTAACTCCTGTTAATTTTCCTGCACTACCAAAGCAGTTTTSAAGCTTTGCCAATAGTAGCGCAGAGCACCTTTAGTTCTGCTCTGTAAAGCAACCTTTTGGCCCAGGCGAAGTTTGCTTCTCCCAGTTTCTTTTCACATAGATACCTTAAAATTAATCCATGTCTTGGCAGTGCTTACAAAGCACTGCTTTATCAGTGAAATCAAGCCTATTTGTGCACCATCGTACAGTATTCAAGGCTGGGAAGCCATCAGGAACTCAATCAGTAGAGAAGTGGCACACTTAGAATGCAAAATGACTTCCATATATTTTGTTGGTATCTCTATGGGGAGAGACATTCTTCTTTCCGCAACTTTCTTCTTGGTTAGTTAATTTTAGAAAAAACACATTACAAGTTCTCCCTACCTTTGCTTCACTGTTTGACTTAATTTGCACAAAAACTTATTAAGCAGAGCCATAGCATCTTAYGGAAGTGTTAAATGAACACTTGCACATCTGTAAAATAAAATGCACACACTGAAGGGCTGAGCTTCATTCCATCCAATTGTGCCCAAGTAAGCTACTGTCCAGCAAATTCTCCTCTAGGAAAAAAAGGCAACCCATTCTCCTAATTTTTTTTTTTTAGGGCCTGGACTAAAGGAAATAAATAAGRTTTTCCCAAATTTAGTTCTTGGGCACCAGTTAAATTATCTTTGGTTTAAGGGATGGTAAGACTTCACTAGCTGAAAAGACAGGTGCAATAGAAAGCTGTCCTGCACAACTCTCTTCCAGAAGAGATAAGATTAACCCCTAGCAGTCCTAGGGACACCAAGCAGGATGTTTTTTGGCTATGAGGACACAAACTAACCATCACTGTCCTAATGCTAGAAGAGGTCAAGCCTTGGAAGTCCAGCTCTGGATTTTCAAATGTCAGTGGGAGCCTCCTTAGGCCCTGGAGTGATTGCATTCTGCTGAAATTTAGTCCTGATTATCCTGACATTTAGCTACAAAGGCCTCCCTCACTCCCATCCCCAAATCCATGRTTTCATTATAAAATAACACTATTCACATACTTCTGAATCAGTATTTTCTGAACACTTTCAGATGCTGAATACTTAAGAAAAATATATAACTATATAGCGAGTGCATGCTCAATGACACATGGCTTTTTGCTAGATTCTTGTACTTTAGATGCCTCAATATCCCTAGCAGTCTGGGAAACAGTGACCCACGCCGAGCAGCCACTTGTGGAGGGTTAGTCTGGATGGTGGTTGCACATTTCTACTCTGAAGCGCAGTTTCTCCAGATCCCACTTGGATCCAGACTTCTACGTTCAACCAGTGAGACACTTGGCGATCCCCATTCTTTGGCTCGCAGAAAACATGCAGCCAGCTGCAATTTCACATCAAGATAGCTAGGGCAAAAATGCAGCTCTGTTGGGACAGCTGTCAGTAGAATAACCATTAGTCCAGCAACCAAAGGTATCAGGCACAAGAGCAGACCCTAGGTTCCTTGGCATGATTTCTCCAAAGGACTAGGACAGCTGAGTTGGCATTTGGAAGATGCTGCACCACAATGGGCAGCTGCAACTAGACCAGATGGGCAGGGAAAGCCCAGCAGGAGCTGCTAGCAAGCGAGGTAATTCAGTACTGGAGCTGTGCAAACTGGTGTCTGAGCAGCTCTTCTGCAGAGGGTCTGTGCCTGGCTTCCACAAAGATCTGCTTTAGGAAGTCCCGGCAATGTTCTGATATGTGAGAGGGGAGCTGGGGGTTGGTGGGCTGCGTGGCGATCTTGAAAATCGCTGCCATGGCTTCGTACTCTGCCCAGGGTGGTTTCTCTGTCAGCATTTCCACGACAGTGCAGCCAAGGCTCCTGGAAAAGCAGATAGGAGAGGGGGAAAATTTGTTTTTAAAAGCGAGAAGTGACTGGCACAATGCACAGGATTCGGAAAGAGCTTCCAAGCAGCCGACATCAAGGTACAGCACTGCTCTGAAATCACCTGTAAAACTGTTCTGGACTCAGCAAGCCGTTTGCACACCCAGGTTCTTGGCCGCATCTGCCAGCATTGCTGCTTTTTACTCCTGTCAAAAAGGATTTGCCAGTATGATTTGCCATATGAAATGGACCATACGCCCACTTTGCAAGTGAGCGAACAGAAGATGGGAAGCACCTTCTACAAGCCACCTCTCATGGCTTGTATCACGTGTTTTCATCACGTTGTTCCATTAAAAAGAAGAAATTGTGTCCTCTGCCTTTAAACTAAACCTTGCTTTGAAGTGAAATGCAAAGAAAAGTCATTCTCAGAGGCAGACTTGCATCAATTGCCAAGACAAGGAAGGAAAGGAATTAAATCCAATGAAGATGCAAGAAATGATTTCTTGACAAGGTTTAAAATCCAACGTGAAAATTTTACACTGGTTTCCAGCCATTTAAGACTTACAAGAAGAGAGTACAGAAAATGCAAACCATGTGTGCTGAAGTGCTGGGGACTTGCTCAAGAGCAGAGCAGGGATATATTATTGTTTAGGCTGATTTATACTGTTTAAGTAGATCCGGTTTCTTTAAGATATTCAGCAAACAGCAGGAATGTTTTTCATGTCAAGTCACTCCAGCAATAACAAATAGCTCACATATTCTGCTATTTAGAAAAAAAGAAAATTGGAGAGGGGCCTGCAGCAGTGGCGGAAAGCCAGGCGGCTGGATTTGTTACATCTTTGGGCCTCTCGGTCATACAAATCCACCCTGGGACTAGTGCTGCGATGGAAAATTCTGCCCCCCCCAAAACAACTGGGATTGTAGGAACTGGAGCCCAGCCAACGGCAGCGTCTCTTTGATGGGAATGTCAGCACCAGGAGGAAATCCACAACTGCATCAATCCAGGGAGAAGGGCACGTGCTCCCTTCTCTCCCCAAGCATCCCAACTGGGAGAGACTGCAGAACTTAACTCTTTGCAGACAGGACAAATTTCAGATATGTTTCTATTCGCTGCTTCTAGAGGCAACAGTGTAGGAGGCCTTTCTTTACTGTAGAGGCATAAGCAGAGCTTTTGCTGGTGTCAGTTAGCTTAATTATCTCACCTTTTGAAGGCATCCAAAACTAACATTTTGACACAGAAGGCCGTTTTGCTCTTTCCTTTTGATAGAGGTTGTTTCTTGGCTACGCAAATAATATTACAGTTACAGTCTCCACTCATGCATGCTTCAGACTAACTCTGTTCTGACTYGTATCTTATGTTATTCCAGGCTTGGGCATCTTTCCTTCAGATCTTTGTCAGCACACTCAAGTGCAATTCACTTGCATTTCCACAGTGTTACAAATACACTCCTCATTTTAAATCAAAAGGAACAGACTTTCCCTAAAGAACCTTCAGTCTAACTTTTATCTCTATAGGTGATATAAAAAGGCTGGAAACCTTGCATCGGAAGTAGGAAAAGAGAGGATCACTATTGCTCACAGCTTGATATAATAATTCAAGAGAGGAATGAACAGAAAGTGTTAATGGAAAACCAACAGAGCAGTAGACACTGACACTGCAAAGCAGAGCCCGCAGTAGGCCATGTCTTAAGTTCAAACTTGCTACCCAAGTTTGCCTTAAACTCTTCTCACTTTTAAGACAGACAAAATCTCAATTTGTATATACAGAGGACAGAGACTGTATTACATGTCCGCATTATYTCACTCCAGTTGTAAATCAATCTATGGACAGAAAATTCAACCCTCACCATACATCTGCTTTTCTTCCATAGCCCTCTCCGCTGATCACCTCTGGGCTCATCCAGTATGGGGTGCCAGTGACAGAGCGGATGCCTGTTCCAGACATACAGATTGTCTGCAGCCGTTTGCTGGCCCCAAAGTCCCCAAGCTTCACATTCCCAGCAGAGTCACGGAGAATATTGGCTCCTGGACAAAAAAAAARRAAAAAAAAAAAAAGAATCAAGACAGCAGTTTTCATGCAATCCAGCTGTTGGCTCTGCAGCCCAGAAAGTTGATATCCAACCCAGAAATAGCCGTGCTCACGGTACGGCTTTCTCCCCATCAAGCCTCAGGTGACCTGCTGAACATCAGTTCTTCACTTTGAACTGTAGACAAGCAAATTGCTAATGGCTGCAAATGTGAAAAAATCTTGAGGAGAAAAACACAAGGAAATGAAGGGGGAAGGGAAATGAGAGCTGAGTCAGCACCATCATTGTTAACACTGTCTGTAAACAGCTCCCAGAGCCTACACAGGAGGCCCCAGGCCAATGGCTCAGGCGGGACATAGCTGTATAGGACAGGATTTTACTTGAATGCTGCTTTGGTGAATACCCAGCTGACCAGAAAGCAATGGCTAACAGATGTATCTAATTAAACCACTTTGAACTCCTACAATAAACAAGTCAATCTCCYCTTCACTTGGTCAGAGGTCCTGAACATGAAACATCAGGAAAACAAGCAAACTTAGAGGATAGCTTGTGTGTGGACATAAGCTACTGCTTAGACAGCAAAAGATGATTTTACTGCTTTCCAGCTTTGAAGGAAGAAATATCCTTTGTGGCCAGTATTTGATATGTGCCTACATGAAGTCCCTCTGCCCTCAGATCAAATGCATTTATGCTATGAGATAGTCCTACCACTTGGTTTCCTCGTTGGGAGAGATGAATTCAGAGCAGTCCATTCAGGATCCAGTAGGCAAATCAAAAGTTTGGCTTAGAAGATGAGTACAGACTAGTGATTTCCAACCTGATAGAGAGGACAGGAGGCAGGACAGGTCGGGATAGCCTGATATATACAGGACTACCAAGAACAGGCATRGAGTTCTTACGGGAAATGCTACATCTACCAGCTGAGAAATGGTACTTTGGTCAAGCACAGAGGAAATCAGAAAGGAAGGCACAAAGGAAAAAGAAGATGCCCTGCAGGGTTGAGAGAGAAAGACGAGGAGTTACAGAAGAGGCCTTCCAGTCCTCCTGGAGAGAGCAAATCAAGTGCTTTAACATAGCCTGGAATAGCACCTTCTCCAAGATCAGGACAGAGAGGTGAGACCACAAGGCAGTATTCAAGCAAAGCCAATTCAGGAGTCCCACCCAGGATACTGAATTCCTAACTCTTAGCTTCCTTTTTCAGAGTTTGCTGAGCACGTGCTACATACATAAATCACCAGCTGATCTCACCCTTTATGTCCCTGTGCACAATCATGTTGCTGTGAAGGTACGAGACTCCCTCGAGAATCTGGCGAGTATATTTCCGGGTGACGTTTTCCGTCAGAGCACCATACGCCTTTAGCTGGTCTTTCACTGACCCCTGCACCAAAAACAAACAGAAGGGATTGCCAAAAAAAAAAAACACGACAAACCACAAGTCTTGCAGTCTCCATTCAATTCCCACGAGTTGAGACCGTGTTATAAATCCATCCATCCCCATACTGAATACAGGCCTCCTAAAGCCCTTTTATGAGGCTCTTGCAGCATCTTGTCCTATGAAGCTCCTTTGCAGAAATGTAAAGATAAGGCTCTATGGCAAAAATAGCAGCTGTCCTGCTACAGGACAGCCATTTGTGGAGACCTACAATAAACCAGTTCAGTAGATTGAACCAAGTCAAAAGTCTTCCTTTTTGCACGGTCAGTTATAAACTGATGCACTCACTGCCTGYCTCTGCTAATTCACTATTTGTGTATTGGCCAAAGTTCTTGGAAATACTCTGGTAGAAGGAAAGAAATGAACTTTAGTGACTAATCAAGAAAATATACTTCAGGTGCAAGATATTTCAAGTAAAAAAAAACAAGCAAAACCAAAAGAGGTGTTTGGGGGCTTCAGTGATATTATAAAAAGCATAAATGAAATGGTTGTATTATGTGCAAAGGGAGCATATCTGAGAGGGCAAAAGGGAAATCGCACAGTAACTGCACAGTATGATCTGGGATCCTGCTGTTTGTGTCAGTTCTTACCCCTGGCATGTACTCCATGAAGATGGTCAAGGTCTTCTCTGCTCGATCCCGTAGGCAGCCATAATACTGAACGATACGCTCGTGCTGGAGATTCTTTAGCAGCTGAATTTCACACTCCAAGGCACTCACTTCCTATAGGTGTGGAAGGAGAAAATAAGGCTCTGGCCCAAGGAAATATTCCACCCCAATTATTCTATCCATGTCACTGCCAGGACAAGACCACTTCACCCTGAAGCAGTCTAATCCATGGGATTGGCTCACCTAGCTCCTGGGAAAGGCAAATATTAGCAAGGCTTCAGATTAATGCTTATTGTAGAAAAGGGAAGTTATAAGTTCCTGCAAAAACTTCAACAGCTGGAAATAGAGGCAATTTCACATACAGGTTTAGAAGCAGAAAAACTTGGGTTCTAGTCTTGATTCAGTCGTCTGTTTAGTGAATGGCTTTGTCCAAGTCAGTTGAAAACATTCACAATTCAGAAATAACTCTTCCTTCCATCACTAACCTGATGACAGGGAGGCTTAATTCTGATTATAAAAAGCTATGAATATACTGCTACACAACTGTGAGAAATATTTCTGCAGGAACCTCAACCCATTGGATAGCAAGATTAGAACGCTAAGAGTTTCTAACTATTTCTGTCACCCAGCTCTTGCTCCAATTTATGCTCATGAGTTTTACTTGAGTCAACTTTATAAATAGCTTCCTCTCCTACAGGCTTCAAAGTATTTGCAGCTAAGCACATGAAACTGATTCTCTGCTTTGGTCCTGCCACAGACAACAGGGGATCACAGCACAAGGGCAGAAAGGTTATCCAAAAATTTCAGGCTCCATCAGGGGTACGTGCTGCCAAGGAAAAATATTGTGTTCTTGATGAATCCAGGGAATAAATAGTCTGAACATCAAAGACACTGCAGCATGACAATTTACAAAAAGACAAATGACTGTTTTCCCCCCAAAACTAGTCCCACTCTCCCCCAAATAGTAATCCCTACCACTTAAAGCTGCCAAATCCACCTSCCACCTGAAGAGAGGATATAGCTCTTCAGGAACAAGGACTTGGCCACTGCCGAGATCATGGAACAAGAGGTAAAAGCTTAATGGGGCCAACCGATAGCTTATGGTTTGGAGTTTCAGTGCCTTCAAAACACATTCCAGTCTATTCTTCCCTGGCTCAGAGCTGCTCTCTGATTTACAGCAGAGACATGCTCTAAGTTAGGACGTCTCTTGGCACCAGTCTCCCAACACACAATCAGAATCATTAGATCTTCATGGAGGAGTTATTTCAGATCAAAGTGAATTTGTYTAATACTGGGAAATCAATACATTGTAGAAATGCTGTCAAAGAACCCAAGAGGATCTCCATCTGCATTCCCTGCACAAGTAGCAGCATGCAGCCTATACCTGGAAACAATGGGCCCCTTCCCACCTCCCCTGGTTCTCATGTGTTGTCCATTCTTGATTAATTTATGCAGGATAGTTCAGTTTGTTTGGAGGACAGGGAAAATCCAGCAGCTGCAATGGGCATCGGATTAATTAGTACCCTTAATACAGGAACTACCATGCAAGTCCATAAAGCCATCTTTGAAYGTGCGTGTAGCTTTTCTACTGAAAAAAAACCAAAGTCCCACTCTTTCTGAGTTTAGTTTCACTCAAATTTCCTGTCTAACCAGGAACACAGGGCAGTTTAGAATTCCTCAAGTAATCTAGCAACAAACCAAAAAGCTAAGAATGGAGAGCCAAAAATGAAGCCAGAAAAAGGCATATTAGTTTCAGACTGAAGTCAACAATACCGAAAAACAATTTTTAAATAACTCCTATAACTCTCCACATGACTTGAAGTCCTAGCACAAACTCAAGAATATGCCAGATTTCGAGAACAAGCAGACAAAGGCCCTTTCCAGGATCTCAAAATCTGTATAATGAAGTTGAAGAGCTCTGAAGAGAATTACCTTGCTTGTTTCAGGACTCTCGGGATCAAACTGGACCTGCTTGGCTGCAAGCTCTCTGCCCGTGTCCACATCATAGCACAAGTACACCCGACCAAAGGCACCTTGGCCCAGAAGTTTTCCTCGTCGCCAGTTTATTGGAGCACTCGGAGCTAGAAAAGGATATTTTGAAGGACATAATTTTGAGTACTTTGCCGACCATTGGTTACTTTGGAGTTCTTTCTCTTGGAGGAAGGATTTCACTGTAAGGCTGTTTCTGCAGCAACAAAATTAGACATCACAATTCCCACTAGAGAGTGATATGATGGAGCCAAAATATAAGTTAGTGCAAACATTTTCATTGCACGCTGAACAGTCGGTCTATTGTAAAAATATATATGAGACCAGGCTAAGGTAGCCATCTCCAATACCCCAGCAGGAGATTATGTCAGCATGGAATTAGTTATTCTACATTGCAGGCAGTGTCCTGACCCACAGATTAACACCTGAGCCCAGTTTTCAACACTGCGCTATATCCCATCCCAAAGCATACTATTCAAGAGCTGTGTTTTAGCTCTAATTTTGAAAAATGACACCACCAGATACAGCGCAACACGGTGCGATGCTTCCAATTATGTTGCATCTAACAAGAAACTGCAAAACCAAAGACAGGCACCAACCATCTGGACAGTGTTAAAATACAGAAGGGCTGAGAGATTAGCTTTGCCACCTCAAATTTAGTCAGATTTACTGCCAGTCAGTGTTTTGGTGTGTTTTCTGCTTATTTTGATAGTTTAATATCTTCCATTTTTATCTTTAAATTACTGTACAGCATTTCTGAAGTTCACTAGCAATGATCTATGCTTCGTTTTGTTTTTGGTTTTTTTTTTTTTTTTTTTTTTTTTTTTTTTTTTTTGCTAAATATGCTCCCAAACAATCCAGGGATGCTATTAATACAAAAATATATCTTTCTACTGAGGAATAAGCGAAATAAACATAATGTTTAACTTGTAACATAACTGTAATCCACAAATCTGACTATAAGAAAGTAATGTATCAAGAAAATAAAACAAGCTCTTCTGCTTTTTAAGAACCCTGTRCATCACGTTGATCCAACTGAGTTCATATTTTCTACTTTTTAGCTAAATTTCCAATGCTTTTTAAAGGAAGGGCCAGATCCAAGTGCGAGACTACAAACAGACAGACCACAGCTGAGATAACCAGTGATGAAGAAGTGCTTGGGTTTGTGGTGTTTTTGTTTTGGTTTTTTTTTTAGACTACAAAGTATTTTCAAATTTTACCTGTTCTTATTTAGTGACTATTAATCTATTTCAAACACAACCAACTCCTAAAATATTTCTTACATAGTCATGTTATTATGCACTACACTGATTTGCTAAACATTATGAACAGAATGTTAGGTAGTAGTAAACAGTTTGGTTAAAGAAACCTGTAAATGTTTTACTGGCAACACTTTCTTTCCTGCACTGCTGTTAGGTCAAGAATAATATGAGAAAAAAATCACCAACTTCTAAACCAACTCAGCTCACAGGCAAGCCATGAAATTCTGTGTTTTTGAAGAGTTCATATAAATCAAACCATGGTCATGTTAACGGCTCTCTTTGCCCCTACGCCCAGGAGGCCTCTACCCAGGACTGTTCCTTACATTTAGTGGGAATGTTCCTCTCCTGCACAGCAAGGGCATTTTCGCTGTCCGCGCTCCGCAGGCGCCCCCGGGGGTCCAGGTACTGCAATGCCAGGCCCAGGTTTTCCCCATTGGTGCTTAAGGAACGACTTGAAGGCACCAAGGTGAAAAGATTCCCTTGGTGACGCCGTATTCGGGGAAATGTCCTCCGGCCTGATGCGATAAAGTTGAGAGAGAAAGAAAAGAGAAAAATAAAATTTCTTAGTAATATGCTTATAAATGGGAAACAGTAGCTGGAACTTGAGCAATGAAAAGAAGGGAGAGAAACATATTCCGAACTATTCCCATGAAGCACAATGTAGCACCAAAAAGAGCACATGCACAAATATTCAGGGCTGATCCTGCTTGAATTCAGTATCATTTTGTCTCATTCCCAAGGTAGAGGGAGAGAAGACTCTTTAATGCCCTCAGTGCAGAAGTGCATCCCAGTAGCCTCATCAAGATCTAAATAAAACTTGCCTGGCAAAGGAACAACTTCTTTTACAGGCTGTCGAGCAAGCACTAGGGCTTGTTAACAACCATATAGGCAGAATGACTTTCTAGATAACATGCTTGAACTCACACACACTACCCAGGCGATCTGATCCTTCAAGCTAATACTATTTTATATTAAAACACCATCTTCCAAGGCTTGTAAATATGCCCACTGCTTAAGTCCACAGTCATTCACRGATACTCGCAGAAAATGCAAAGTTAACAGAGAATCCCCAAAAGTCATCTTGGGCTGCTACAAAAATGTGGTGTCACACATGGCAGCAGCAGCATCTCTGACCCCAATTGCACATGCAAGGATGAGRGCTCATCTTTTCCACAGCTGGAATCCAAGGTCTGAAAAACACCCACCATCATTGTAGTCTTTGTGCTGCATGGAGACGTTGTAGCGCCGCGGGTAGGTTCCACCTTTCCCTGCTTTGTCGTAGATCTGATTCTCACGATCTGCAAGAGACAGCAAGTGAGGATCCTTCCAGAAGCAACCGAGTCCTAATGACCAAACATTCCTGTAAGAGCCGTCTTGTTAGGAAGAAGTGAGAAATGAGCAACTTGATTGTTTTTCAACCAACCTACCCCTAATTATTTATTTACACAATCCCAGTGAACAGGGAGGTTAGTAAGCAAACAGTAGAAAAGTTCAAAACTCTTCATACTGGACACTGACATACCTGAGAATTCCTGCCTGTTATCAGGAAAGCTTTGTGCTCTGGACATCCGTGACTTCCGAAAAGAAGGGCTATTAAAGAAAGAAGGCAAATATAAGCTTTGCTGGAGAGAAACCTACAGGGACTTTAAATACAAGCTAAAATATTTCAGACTGGTATGGCTTGAGTTCCAGATTTCCTGTAGTCACATGTAATCCAAGGTGCTATCTAAAACTAAGAGGAAGAGCAAACAGGATACTGTTTGCAGCACACAGCTCACAGACAGTTAAAGAATGGGACTGACCACCGTCCTATCCTTTCTGACCCTTTCCATGAGGGGTAAGAATTCCCGTCCTGAAAACTTGTATTTGCTTTCCTCTGTGTCAACAGCTGATAGGCCTAAATACAAATTTATATCATCAGTCCCTTGTGTTTTTCCCTAAATAAGCACGGCCCTTTGAGCAAGCCTTAGTACCTTAAGTCACCTATAAATTCATATTCTTCTTTACATACACATTTAGATGCTCAAGGGCAGCACTGTTCCTAATATCTACACAAGATAAGCACCATCAGCTACAAAGAAAGGGAAAAGCAGGACTTAGAGTGCATCAGACCTGACACGCAGAGTTCCCTCATTTCTTTTGARATTAATGCTGCATCTTGTAGGACATAGAAATCTTGTGTAATGATATATTTCTCTACCTTTAAATATTTTTTTTCTTAAATTTTTTTTAATGAACAAGTAGAGCCTTATCTTAAAGGGATTTAAATACATTGCAGTCAGATGTTCTCAGAGTTCACACTCCACACAAACAGTACTCTTTAAAACTTTCTATTTATAACATAGGACTGCTACTGAAGCACCAGTTTGTTGATATATGATTTTGCCAGAAAATAAAACAGTCTTAAGACGTAGTTAATTCTCTGTAAGAAGTATATTAGGATATTAGGTTGGAAAAGATTCTGTTTCTCTACAGGACAACTTACAAAATGGGAAACAGATTTTCACATAGGGGCAACTGGCATTTCAACTTAAGCACATCTGAGTTCCTCCCAACTTGCATGTTTGTACCTGTCTGCCGACCTGTCCAAAGACTGACAGCTTCCTGACACAGAGTTTTCAGCACTGCTTAAAGGGTCCAGCATCTGCAACACAGAAGCCACAGGGCAACATCAGATGTGTGAGAGGATCAGAACTAGTAACTGTTTGCCTGAAGAACACCCAGACAATCAGGGGAGCCTAAAGTTGCTTAGAATGAATATTTTCCCTTCTCTCTCTCACATAATTTGTTAGGGTTAAGGACATATCACGTTTGAGCCATCGCTGTGCTTCAAGTGACAGCAGAGCCTGATGTGAACATGGTGGTTTGAGTTGGCCAGCATGCTGGATTTTAATCCCAAGCGACTTCAGGAACAGAAGCTGCTGTCCCCACCTGCATGTTGGCCTTACTTTGGCCTTATTTCCTACTTTTTGAATGGGAGATTGCAGTTTCAAATGCRAGGGTCACATCAACCTGACAATAGGAAACTGAGCTATATGCATGATGCATGACAAAGCTATGGCACTTGTTCAGAGGTGGGGAGAYTAGGCACAGCATGTACAGCAACTGCTTGTAGCAGTCCAACATATACACTGCTTTTACACCTCTCCAAACAAGTTTGGAGCATAGTTTAAGTGAACAAAATTATTAGTAGCTTCTAACACAACTCCAGCTATTGAACAGAGCAAAAAGAGGGAGTAGGTTCCTTAAGAGCTGCACTTGTTTTTCTTCACCCTAGTGCTCATACTCACACATTGTTCATTGGTTTCTGGGATGAATTCGCCTTCGCTGTTTATACTGGTGTAGGAGCCCTGGCGAGCAATGCGCTGCTGCCTCTCTGGAACGTACCCGGGGGGCGGTGAACTTCGGCCTGTGTTCTGGGAGCCTGGGCCAGAAAGGAGGACACTTTTGGAGCGTACACATACCAAAAGGAGACTGCACTGGCAGGTACATAAAGTCAAAGCATTCACCTCTACAGCTCGAACTCAATGACTGCAACAATTTGGGAGTAAGTTTGGACAGAAACAGAACTGACAGATGCCACATCAAAAGGCAGGGAAGATTGGAAATATTCCTGGCAAAGCTCTTAACAGAGCAGTCACTTACCTCTGCCCTCTTGTACCCAAGCAGAATTTGAGCATCTCCATAAAGCAGGCTGGAATCTGCCAAGAATCCAGGAATCTTTGACTTTCTAACAGGGAAATGAATTTTGCTTCACTGCTAAACTCCACTAAAGAAAATACCAATSTTTTCTCCTGGTTACAAGTCTACCACAACTAGTATCATACACCCTGAATGACAGTACTGTCCCCGCTCGTTACTCTCAGCTGAACTAATTATACTGATACTGAGCAATTTAAACATCCTACAGGAGCATGGTGCTGCCTTTTTAATACATCCAGCAACCTCTGTCTTACTGTGTGAAACTGGAATAGTGCAACCAGCTTGGAAAACAAACACTGAGGTCAGTTTTGCAGCTTTTGAGACGAGACAGCAAGAAGGACAGAGTACGTCTAGCCGCAAAAAGATGAGCAAAACATTTTGGTCATCTGTTACGGTACCAAGGAGTTTTTGTTGTGCTACCTACCGAGAAGAGCTTCACCCCTAGCATTTCCTTATTCCTTGCAGATCTTGAAGGTGCTACTTTAGAAACAGGAAGGCACAAAATCCTTCCTATTTGCAGTGACCTATCCACCAAGTCAGATTGTGAGTGCCAGGAAATGTTGTGAGCCAGCCAACCTACGCAAGGTCCCTTGTGAAGTCAGAGGCAGAGTTTTAAGATCACCTCTCAAGCTGTGCTCTTTATGATGCTGCCTTTAATGAACTGTGTGTACTCAGGTGCTACGAAAGATGGGTAAAGAGCAGCAACTCCTCTCCCAAGGAAAATATTTTCTACAGAAATTGCTGTAACAAAGAGGGAAGGCAAATGCTGGTAGAATCTCATCAAAAGCTGGTTTGTGCTCCTTTAGGAGAAAGGCAGAACAAAAAACACTGGCGTGGCTTGGTGTGCGTGGTGGACTGCGTGCAAAACACCTACTGCTTCGAATTACTACCTGATTTTCCAAGTTGGCTCACGTGATACTACAAGCCAACCGGAGGGCGAGTAAACAAGAGCGCGTGCTCCGTGGCCGCCCCGAGGCACGGGAGCACTTTCACTCTTTCCGACACAGTGTCACGGCACCGAGGGAGCCCGAGTCCCGCTGGCGTCAACCCAGGCGCTATTGTGGAAAGGCCATCATCACTGGGCAGGAAAGGGAAGTCGGCACTAAATCAATGTATATCAAAGGAAGTCAGTGGAAAAAAACACAAGTGCTGCCAGAACACTTAGCAGCTTTTTAATAGAAGTTCTTTTATTTTCAAATCCCTGGACTGGTGACAGAAGGCTCAAGGTCTGTCTGCTTTAGGATACAGGAACTACACAGGTACATCTGCTGCCTGTAAGCAACTTTCCTGTTCATATCACACGATGAAATGAGAGTTTCTGTGTCTGAAACTCCAGCAACCTGGGGTATATCCTCTTCCCAAAAYCAAAGACAGGAAAGAAGAAGGAATTGATTTAAGACTGATCTATGGCCAAAAAAATTATTGGACAAGCTGGAACACTTCTGGACCTCAATAAGGTAGCAGATGTTTACTACTACTTTATTTTAACTTCTACATTATGAATATGTCAAATTAAATATAAAATACATGCTTTCTTGACTGATGAATGACAGGCTTATCAGAGTGTCCATAAGCAGGAATAAGAGCATAGAGACTGTGCAACAGCGATACAAAAGGGGCCCCTCATTACTATACAGTTCACCCACAACAGACACTCAGTAGAGCGTGTTAGCTTTGGCATCGCTATTTGGATACCTTAGAATGCCAATAAAGGGGAAAGATTTTTTAAAAATAAATATTTCTGGCATTGAATTTGTCTGTGAAAAAGAAGAAATGTAATGTTCAGACAAGCATGGATACCACTGCATTTTTCATAGCTCCAAGGCATGTTGCTCTAGTTTAAGTTAATAGGCAAAAAGAAAAAGAGATGGGAAAACTCTGTATCCATTTCAGACACGTATTTCTTAAGATTTCAGCACTATCCTTTGTTTGTTTGCTACCTCACAAAAGCTCCCTGACTAAAAGGGAATCAGCAACCTCTAAACAGGATTCAAGCAGCCTTGGTAGGCAACTCTAACAGAGAACTACTAGTTTAGTTCTCAAGTCCTCCTCTGCTGAGCTTTTTCTCCCAGCTAGTTTTGGTCAGGACAGTGTGGATCTGAGCCAATTTGGAGACTACTGCTTCTACTTTTAACAGATTTCTTATTTGGGACTAGAATCTGATTTGCAAACGTTGACCTAAAGCRCTGTTAGGATTTTACCCCTCAGGTTCACAGGTGAATTATGCTGCTCGTCTCCTGAGGAGCTGGAATCAATCCAGCATTGGCAGCTCCCAGCTCCTTGTGACCTGCAGCACCTATCGCCTGAAGCGGTGGGTCTGATAAGATCTAAAATATCTGTTAAAGCAAAGGAAACAAAACCAACCTCTGATTCTGTTTCCAGCAAACTTTATCTTTTCTTACTTTTAGGCAAAGCTCATCTATGCAATACAGCACCTTAGGCTCCAGCCTTCACAGCGCAGATCCCTGGTATAGCTGACTTTCTACCTGCTGCTTCACTGAGCACTGAGGTTTCACACAAAGAAGCCAGATTCTAATCCACAATCTTTTTTATCGGACCTCAAAACCTTAGGAGTCTYAGATGTTTTAGTTTTTCCATATAAAAGGTTTGCAACTTTGACTTTCTTTCATCCACAGATTTGAACACAATGTTACACACGGGGATAACGCAGACCAATTAGCAACTCAGCCAGATCTACCACAGGTAAAAGCCTTAAAAATAAACATGCATGTGYGTGGCTGCTCGAAATCAATACACTACATGGTGCATCCTATGTTCTGTAAACAGTATATGCGGTTAGTAAATCCCTCCTATAAAATGCTGAATATCTTAACTTTAGGAAAAGTTCTGAGAGTTGATAACATCTGACAATTACAGGCTTAGATCTGCATTACAGAGTTTTACGTGGACCTTTCAATAGAATGCAAATCAGTTAATCTAAAGAAACACAAAGGAAATGAGGCAGGGGCACTATCTCTGACTGCTGTTACTATTTTTTGTGCAGCTCAACCAATCACTTACCATCCTAATCTTGTCCTCTTATCCTCTGGTAACTACCACCAAAAGAGGAAACTGGTTATGCAGCACACTGGTTAGATATGCAGGGGCAATTCCTGTGCTACCAGTGAAACGCTGATAAGAGGAGCTAGTACAGTTTCCAAACCCCTACCATAAAGAAAAGAAAAAAGAAAAAAAAAATCTACATTTCATGAACTGAAATTGCCAATATAAATAAAAAGGCTTAACGGATTCATGTAAGCTTTCCAAATCTCTAACCTCAATGAAGCCGGCTGTAGGACATCCTCTCTAGCAGCAACTCAGCTATTCCACAACTTAGTAAGGAGTGCTGAAACATTCTTTCATGAACACATTTAGAGCCTTTGAAAATGAACTGCTATTTCCTAGAATAACCTTTCAGTTTCTCAAGGGTTTCATGAACTCTATACCACAAATACTAGCACCCAAAAGGTACGTTTCACAAAATAACAAAAGCGGAAGTGGCAAAAAATACTCACTGACAGACAGATGCCTACTTCTGGGTTCTGTCTGCTGATAGGATGTGTTCACATCCCCGATGGATTGGGAAGTTTTAATCCTGACTTGTTTGGGCAGTCCAGAAAGGGATGAGGAACTGGTCTGTTGGGTAAAAGGAGAAAAAGAAAATGAGACCAAGGACCCAAGCAGTCCAGCCACAGTTGCAGAAATATTACATTTAGTAGCAAGAAGGTTAACAGAGAGAGCCTTAGAGTCCGAGATCTTATTATTTCACAGGTGAGAAACAGTAAAGGGAGGACAAACTTCACAATCACAGCGTGAAACAGCAGTTGAACAACTAGAGTGAGCTCCCCTGCTGCCCAGAACTGAACACAGRATTTATGAGTCTTGGTGTTTGTCTTCCAAGCGCAAGTGTCCGTGAAATCCGCGGGAAAGGGGCCTACACTTTGAGACTGGGCCGTGGAAAAAACTACAATTAATGCCAATCATCTCAGCTGGCCAAAAAGACCCCGAGAAAATAAATGCTGCTTTCTGGAAGTCATTGGAGTAGGATGTGGTAAATAAGACGAGAGGTTACACAATGGAAAAGGTGAAGTATTGAAGATGTGCTCATTTAACAAGCAAAATCTATCTTTTGCTCAGAATAAGGGAGTGGGATCTGGTTTAAATATAAATAAATAATAATAAAAAGAGTCTTCATTTGCACAAAATACCATGAAAATACTCATTTTCATGAGCCAAAAAAAGGGGTGCACAGGTCACACTATTTACATAGGTGGCCAGGCCCTAGTTCTCTAAGTGTTTAATTTAATCAGTTCTTCCCACGAGCTTCTAGGTAGAAGGAAAGGACTGAAAACAAATGAAGAGCATAAATGAGTCGCACCAAGCAGCATAAGGAAATTAATATAAACAGTATTCACAAAGACGGACTCTCAGTACTAGTAACACAGCTACTGCTGTAAAGTTATTTTTTTAATATACAGATTTGTGCCAAAGTCACAGCATTACCTTTCTATCCCCAGAAAGAGAAAAAGAGTACAACCAAAACAAAATCTGCATCCTGTACTTCAGGAAAAATAACGCTTCCCGCTCCCTCAGTGGGATGAGATCATGCAGCCAAGAAGCCTCCTTCAGACTTGTGGGCTTTTGCTTTGTCACGGGTAGGTCTCTCCTGTCAGGCAACTCAGAGATGAAGAGGAAGTCAGAGGAGAGGGGGGGAAACAGGGGTACTTATTGAAGACTTCGCTGTTTGTTTTTGCTTTGAGCAAAAAGAGGAAAAAACAGCTAATAAAAGGGCTACACCACAATACTGGCTACTGGCTGGTGCAGGGATGAGACTGGTTAAGTGTTTATTGTAGGATGGCGTGGGTGGCCTGTGTAAAGTTTGGATAGTATCGTTTATCGTCTGTGTTGCATGAAGTCTGAAGACACTGAGGTTAACGGAGGGCTGTAAAAGAGCAATGTTTTACCAAATATTGTCTTGAGAGCAGCCAGSAATTAATACACAGGGAAAGGTTATAAGGAACTGCATGAATCTCTCCCCTACATCTTTCCATCTTCTAGCATTCAATTATTTGGGAAGATGCTGTTAATACCTCTGCAGATTTTTAATATTTCAACTAACATGGAAGAATAATGAGAAGCATATCTAAGTTCTCTTGACAGTTCCAAGAATTACAGGTTTGATTCTTCCAAGAGCCTGAGCCTGCAGAAGATGAAAAGAAGTGAAACATTCTAGGCTGAGAAGCTGCTATCAACACAACCTTCACAATCACAGTAGCAGGTAGTTGTCATACATTTCAAAAGAATTGGCAATTTGGAAACAAAATACATAAGCAGTCAAGATCTTTGGCTTTAATAGCTATATGACCTTATGAGCAATAAATAATAATAAAACAGCCTCAATTGACAAAGTTCTTCAGTTGCAGATCATCATGAGAAACTTCTCACACTTTCTCCCCCAGGGAAGTTCAATTACCAGCTAAGTTCACTCCTCAAAATAGGCAGATTTGGGAGCCTCACTTAAAAGATCTACCTATGCCTGCTAGATCTCTTCTGCTGAAAAGTGAAAATTACATTAAAAGTCATTGCCACAGCTCCCTGTGCYAAAGGAAAGGGAATCAAGACAATCAGATTCATCTTAGTTGTGAACATCATTAAGCAACARCAACTTCATTTTATCTCATCATTAGGTAAAAAGAACTTAATTTCTACAGAGTAGGCTGGATTCAAACCAGTAAACCACAGATGGGAGGAAAAAAAGTCATTAGGAATTGTCCTGAAGCTTCTCATCCCAGGGGAAAAAAAAAAAAAACCTCCAAAAAAACAGTCCCCCCAATGAAAACCATCAAAAAGTTCTCCATGAACCAAATTCATTAAGTGCTTTATGGATACAGTCACTGGGCTTTCTAAATAAATATCCTTCATAATCACAGCTTAAAAATCTCTGGTCAATGTTTTAGTCCCTAAACAGCTGCTGAAACAAGGAGGAAAAAATAATACCTATAGCTTAGTCAAGACAATGAGGATAAACATACACATGTGCGTATGTGAAGCACGGCAATCTTGCTGATTCGTATTACTCTTGTGCAGCAGAATACTGCTACATTTCAAAGCTTAAAGGTAAAAAACCTTCACTTCTACTGCAGTGCCACAGAAGTTGTTACCTACATGGTTTCTGTCCTGAGACAGTAATAATATTCTGAGGCTTTTCACATTAGAGCTTCGGTCCAAGAGATCTATTGCTTTATCCAGGTCATCTTGATTCTTCAAAGGAATAGATAACTGCAAAACACAGGAAAAAAAAAAAAAAAAGTCAAGGCAAAAAAAAGAAGAGTGTACTTGCACAATAGGAATTGAAATAAACATTAGGAAAAAAAAAAAAGAATATAAAGTTCCTAACTGCTTAATTACCCCACAACTTTTCATCACAATACTGTCTTTTAAAACGTGATTTTCCTTCAACACCACCAGAGACTGGYTGACCCTATGCAAATATCCCTGTTGACAGCCTCCACAAGAAGATTAATTACTACCTCATTTTTTAGATTCTAAAGAGCAAGTCAGAGACAGGCTTTTGTCTCTCTGATGAGAACACTGTCTCAGAATATTTATGAATCAAGACCTAATGATCAAGTGAAAACTGGTTTCAGATATGAGATGAAAACAAGATTAAGGCTTTTATAGAGGGAATCGGAAAATAATTTGAAAACTGATAGTAAAGCACTGTGAAATTATGCTCAGAGGCCCTCTATATTATAGCCCACAACTYAAAATGTACATAAGTTATTAACACTCAAGAACCATTTAAATTTCATTTTTGTCAGATTTCTACTGGTAAATGAAGTTTTGCTACCCTTTCATGAGGGCCGGGGTGTCCAGAGCAAGTAATCAAAGAAAATTAGATTATTATTATTATTCACAGACATAATGCATTTTGAGCATTGTTATCACATTGCAATGCGTTTTGAGTATTGATAACAACCGTCTGTACCTCGTTGTTCATGTAGTGGAGGTCCAGCGGCTGGCCAAATGCTGTTTTCACTTTCTGTTGCACATCTTCATAGCGCACAGGCCGGGCAAATGGGATAATTCTGGAAGGAAAAGGAATCATTGATTGAATCAAGTGATGTACCTGACCATATTATCAAATTAGATGGAAGAATCATTTAAAAGAAAAAAAAAAAAAGCTTTCAACAAACTTGGTCACAAGTTAGTCCTTGCAAGCAGTAGCAGCAGGAACACACAAAGGAATGTGAAAACCTGCATCCCAGAGTTGTCTGTGACATTCCCTCCTCAGCAGCCATTCTGCAAGCTCAGAGCAGAGCTTCAAACACCTGAACCACAGCATCACAACACTGTCTTTGCCGCTATCCTTCAAACCACATGCAAGGCAGCCTGGACATTTTTGTCAAGAGCTGAAGCCAGATCAATTGTATGCAACTGTTGGCACTTGCTGTTCTTTCTTTCCTCTTTCCTTTCAGTTTTGTTTTGTTGTTTTAGACCACAGAGTCCTAAATGGGTCACAACCTACAGATTGCTTCAGTTGTGATATCAGAGCACAGCTGTCTGAATATATTGCCATAATAGAGAATATTCTCTATCTCTCCCAATCCCTCATGCTTCCTCCCTAACTCAGTAGAAAAGAAACATTTAAAATAAAATGCACAGGTAGTTTTCATGGGTGTTCACAGGTAATGTATCTCTGGGCACCTCCACCAACTATCTGGCGTGAGAAATCTTGCTCAAATGTAAATTATCCCAATTACTTTCTCTGAGCCCAAACCTCTTGACATACTAGTTATRACATTCAGCTATTTTCTTGCCAGTTGAATGACAGGTAGTTTGAGACTTAACATATGCACATGGCTGCAAGAAAACCAGAAATCCAGAKGGCAACTGGTAGAGCCATCCTAGGGGAACCCAGCAAAATCCTGCGGCATAGGCACGCTTTTCAGAAAGTGACAGTATAGTTTTCTCTCTTTGGTATTTACRATTGTTTTGCCTGTCTAGGAATAAAAATTGTATGGCAATAGGCAAAGCGGCAACAAGAAGTTCCAGCAAAGCGTCTCCAACTGTTTATTTTGCTGGAATATTTTTCTGTATGAACTTGCCAAGTACTCAGAAAGACCCTACCTTGACAGCAATGAAATGCATCTCACTGCTGCAAATTGGAACAACCTGCACTAGTGTAGCTCCTGGTGGCTTCAGGATTGCCATAAAAACTGCAATCATTTAACACCACTTGGCCATTTTGACACCAGGTTGAAATAGGAAGATATGAACAGACCACAGAAACTCAAGACTTATCTCGTTCACAGGGAYGACTCTGTTTCACTACAACAAAATCCAGAACTCTCTCTGGGGAAGCTCATGGAGTTTCTGCTGAACCTGCCTTTTGGACAGGAGGCCCTTTTCCAAATATCAATCCAGCACATTTTGTCAGCACTCAGTATCCTTTCACTATATGTTACTTTTGCTTTAAACAGCTCTCAAATTAGYTGGCCACCTCAGCCCCTTCCCAGGAAGGGTTCATCTTGCTGCCGGTCCTACAAGATTCAGCTATTTAGAAATAATTGTCCTGTTAAAAAAAGCAGCCCACAATAACATTTTCTACATATTACTAAAAAAGCTATCCATTAAATTACAGTACTCTGGCACTGTACAAATGTAATTTGGCTCTTGGTTGAACTGAAGTCCCTTATAAAGGCTTCCATTCTATACTCCAGGCATTCAAAAGCATAGYTGTTCTCAGGTGCCACAAATTCTATTAGTTTAAAAACTCGGGGCAGTTTTCTAACACAAAATCAGGGACTTCAGGATTTAAGGAGCCCATTCCTGCCTGACCACCTTAGATATTTGTGGTTAGGCCTGGCAGCTCCTCTGAAACCAAACACACACACTTACATTCTCCGTGCAAGCTTGCTGTCTGTAACTCCATACCACTTTGGGAATGGGGAATTCAGGCAAGCATTAACTGTATAATTAGACTAACACACAATCACCCTTTTCACTTTAATGCGACTTCAGAAAAACCTTTCTTCTCCCCGGAGCTCTGTGCTATCTTGAATGCACTCGCAGAGGCGAGGACAAGTAAGATGACAATAGAGYAGTGACAAGACTTCACTTCCAAGGTACCCTGTCATAGCACTGTAGCTTGACAGGTCACAGTGCCTCTGCTGTAGTCCYCAAAATGCCTTTGACATTTGCAGACCATTCTTTTTTTCCGCACTTTTCTAAGCACGCAGTATATGACAGCTATGATTACTTCTGATTTTTCTCCTCATGCACCAACAAGACCCATTTTCCTTAGTGACCAAATTCACTGCACGAGACTTTGGTGAGTGAAACAGTTGGATTTTTTTGAGGAAGAATCTATGTGTAATTCTCCAATGCCTGCCCAGCAACAAACAAACAAAACAGAACAGCTTTCTGTTGTAACAAAAATCCCTAAATTTGACAAAGGAGGATGCTAGGGAGCATAAGCAGTCCAGTCAGCAACATGCTGTTAGGATATCTGCATACCACTTGTCTTGTATCAAAGATAAAAATGCTCCCCCCCTTTCGTTTTTTCACAAGATATCAGGAAACAAAAAATTCTTGTTGCTTCTGTTGTTTGGGAAGGCAGAAACCAAAGGACTGAAGGATTCTTACACCAGGTAAGAATTAAAATAAAAGATCACAATTACAATCCAATTAATTTCTTCAGAAAAAAGGCAACAGGAGTATAACATCCAGATCTCTTCTCCATCCCCCAAAAAGGGCTCCAGAAGAGCCCTGAAGAAGCTGCAAAGCCTGCAGGCTTCCCTTATGTTCTCAGAGCCACTGAGGAGCTATAACAAAGTAAACATTTTCTCTCAATTAGAAGGGGAAAAAGGGGCTTTCTGGGACATATTTTGAAACTTCTATGCAACCATTAAATCCTCAAGTAATTCCCACTGATCTAACACTTGCATTATACAGTTGCTCCTATATTAACAGCGAGCTGTAACTAACACTGACACCACATTCCAAATTTCAGTTCATCAGGGAGAATGTGCATTAAAACATATCCTCAAACTGAGGCCCGGGCATCAGGACTGGTCTGAACTAACTTAGAGCAAAGTTTTAAGCAGTTAGGACCAACCAACTTTACTGGTTTATTATTTCATTTCCTGAAACTGTAACCAAGCATACAAATTTCACCTTGATATATTACGAGATCTATTCCTTTTGTTGGTGATATATATGATCTGATAAATGCATGACAAATGCACAAGCTCACACAAGACCTTTCTGAAGGGCAGATTAAAGGTTTATGACYGAAGACACACCTACTAATCACACCTAAACTACTTATATAAGAAAAACAAAAGGTCCATGATGTATTAGTTTCTTGAAAATGAGAGCAAGGTGGTCCTAAACTTCAGGCATGATCTTTTGTCTGGAATTATGCAATTCTTAAAATGCTTGCATTTTACTGTTGTGAAAGGTATGTTACTTTAGCAAGAAGATTCTCGTGTCCCTACAAGGAAACTGAAAGGCCCAACTAAATTTTGTTCATTGGAAACACTGTAAAYACAGAAATGCTAATACAGTTCTGGGTTTTGTAAAAGATGCATCTCAAAATCAAGTATTAGAGGAAATAACATGGAAATTTTTAGGCCAATGGAAAAAAAATCCTTCCTGTGCCATATCTGGTGTTCAGTCACAGCAGGACAGTAATAGTGATAGATCATCAGGAAATGAGAAACTAGAAAAGAATGAAGTCAGTTTGATCAGTTTTGTTTCTTTTTAGTTAAATGAAACAAAAAGGGAATATATCTAAAATAGAGAGACTATCAGGCTGAATTTAAAGAGAATTTAGAGGGGTATTTATTTATTTATTTTTACACTTCAGCATCCTATTTTCTTTCTTCAGACAAGAACTTAACCTTACCCAGTTATTCTACTATGCAAAGCTTGAGGCAAAGTAGCAAAACCAGACTTACCGCCTTTCCCCATTATGTTCAAACTTGATCCTTACGTCATTCTGCCCAAGAGAGAACAAAAGGTTACTTCACTGCGAAAGTCTTTGACATATGTAACAAAGTATGTGAAGGAGCTATATGATTTTAAAGGCTCAAACACAAATTAAGGCAATTTGTGATTTTTGGTAGGCATCCTTTTAATTTTAAGTCTTCTGCAATTGCAGAGCCGATCTCAACCATTTGACTTGCTATTAATAAGTTCTCTTTGGTATGAGGTTAAAAAAAGGCTCATCATGGAATGTCTCCATGGGAAGGGGTGGGAACAACTTTTTTTTTTTAATTATCACTGAAATAAGAGGACATTGAAATATATTTTAACTATATAAAAAGTTTAATCCGTCTTTAATACTGTACAGGAGAAGCCTGAAATAGAATCTAATGCCACTCTTCTTTGTGCAAGCATGACTTTTTCTTGACACAAAAGAGAAACAGACACAGTATCTGCATTTGGAACAACTCAGCCTTTACTATGAAATTGCCAACAAATTAACCGTCATCCTTTAAAGCACAAAGGGGTCATTGGCCATATTGATAGATGGTTAAAAGCACTAACCATATAACCTGCACATCATGCTGTAAACTCAGAAGATGCTACGTATCACGGAAGAGTCAACACGATGAACTTTCAACTCTGGAGATCAAAGTTGAAATCCCAATTTAGGTCACAAATATAAAAATAAAAGGGAAAAATCTGCTCTGATAAGGCGCCATAATTTCTGCGGCACAATTTATGTGATTGGAATAGATTAAGCCATCTGTGAAAGCCTTAGACAATAGGCAATCATACATCTAGGAACTTCAAAAAAACGTGGCCAGGAAATGCTCTTTAGCTAGAGGAAATATCTGGCAGGCCTAGTGGTCAAGAATGCAGTTCAAAGGGACCCATGCAATCACTGTGAGTACACAGTATTCCTGCAGCACGACTGTCAGCACATAATTGATCTTGACAAATGAGCTTTCCAATCAGCGCAACAATAATCTGCAGGTGGGGAATTTACACATTTACACAACTTTACCAAAACTTTTTTCTCAGATGCGAGGGGAGTAAGAATTTACTAGAGAAAGCCTTCAAAATAAAGTAACCTTGGGGTTTATGCTTCAAAGAGCAACCAGAGGAATTAAATATCTAGCTCTTAATTTCCTCTGAAAATGCAGTGAATACTTTGCTTTTATAAACCATTCTTATAGAGAAACGCACGTAAGCTGTCCTATGGGATGAGCAAGAAAGCAAATTCAGGTTTGGGGCTTTAGTGTTCCACTTCTGCAATGGGTTATCATACAGGCTGATTACAGACTTTGATTTAAATCATCTCTGAATTTATGCCTCAAAGCGATTTGGAAAGGATTTTGTTCACCGATGGATTTGTCCAGCATGCTCAAGGAAATCCCAGATCTCAGCTGAACAAGTAGATTAGGAGCAGACAAAGCATAAGAAGGAGACAATCAAGAACTTTAAAAGCTTGCCTCCAAAAAGCTTAAAACTGAAATAAGAAGGTAAGTGGAAGGAGGCAATTTCTCTGTTTAACCCTAGTCTAATTGCAATTAACTTGATTTAAATCTTCCAAGACAATAATGGACACACATGTCTCAACTGAAATTGCTCCTTTTGCATAGAAAAATTTCGGTCAAATTAAATGCAGCACTTACAGGGCTATATTTTTCTGTTCTTCCTCTCTACCTGAAAGTCAATGCAATTGTCTTCTCTATGAAGGAAGTCTCCAGGAATATAAAATGAAAGTAAGGAAAAATTGAAGTTCTGGGCCTGTCACTTTATTACCTTGGGAAAAGTACTGCATTTGGAAAAGGGACCTCAAATCCCTTTACCCAAAACAGGTTAGTTTTATACTTCTCTTTCATATGACTGGGTAATTCGGACAATCCTTCCCTTTAAGGGCGCTACCCTCTACCCAGACGCTGGAAGCCAGTTTTCTTACCGAAATTTTTTTTTCATCTACTGCAGAGGCACATTGGTTTGTTATTGCAGGGCTGGTCAAGAGGGGTGGACTGCTGGCATTGTGTTTTCTCTTTAAAAACAAAACAACAACAACAAAAAAGAAGTCATTATTCAAAAAAGAGGCAGTATGGACTGCAAAGCAAGAAAATCACTTGGTAAACTTCTTAGCTGGTCTACACAGTTCACACTCCATCAAAGGTTTATGCAGAGGGCAGAATTCTAAGCTGTTCAAATTACAAAACCTCTATCTTCAGTCACAGAGGACAAGCAAATGACMAAAATACCCACCTAGTAACATGACCTAAGCAAAGAGAACAGGGGGCTAATCCCATTGTGGTAGCAGTTGCCAAAAGCACGGGGCAGAACACAGGCATCATATTCACTGGCACCCTATTTCAGCCCTTCTCCCTCCAGGGAACAATTTAGATTCTCATTAAGAAGCCTGTTACCTGCTTGTTGGAGTGAGCGGTGTCTTTACTCTTCATGGTATCGAATCCAGTCAGTCTGTGACGGCGGCCCATCTGGAGCGCTACCAGGTCCTTCATGATGGAGTTCAAGGCCTCTTGTTCATCTGCAATCAATGAGAATTTCAGCAGTAAGTTGCCTGTGTGAATATCAAGTATAACATTCCTGTGCTTGCTTTCCACTGGCTCATAGAAACACAATCCTTTTCAGAGGGCTTTGCAAATAAACTATAATTTCATTTAGTTATAAGAAGCATCCAACAAACTCAACCTAATTCCACCAAGTAGTAAACAAAAGGATAAAGTTCAAGTCATTTGTCAAGTTACGAAAAGATCTGGCCATAGCAAAGGCTCAAACCAAATGTCTCCAAMCCTCGGTTCTGTTAAAAGAGGTTCCCAAACAGCATGACTTAGATGTATTGGATCATCATTATATCATTTAGGAAGGGCAAGTTGATGTTCTKCTGCCAAAAACAAAAAACAASAACAACAAAAATCACTAAGCATCTGTTCCTTCCAATTTTGTATTCTGTTACCTTAAAAGTCTTACTTGCTGGTAGAAGGAACTATCACCAATAGAAATAGAAGGGAAAAAAAAAAAAGAAAATTTGGACAAAGAATCAACCTATAATATATCTTTAAGTTCAAAACCATTAGCAGTGATTCCCACAACTTTTGTCCTTATTCCCCCCCCAAACAGTTCTCGGAACAAAGCTCAAAACACCTTATGAGACTTAAAGATCTATTGAGCAGATTCAAGTCACACAGCAGCAAGAACAAGGTCTGCCAGCAGAGCATAATACAACAGGTTCAATACCAGGCCTGTCACAAATACTGGAGAGAAAAAAAAAAAGGCACACAGAAGTATTTTTCTCAGATTGACTGAAAATTACTTTCTGAAGGCTAAGATTCCTGATGTGACTAGTTGGAAGCATTCTTCCATTGCTCATTAGTTTTGAGTACAGAGGTGACATTTAGCAGGACTCTACAGGGAGCCTACAGCCTTAAAAAAAAAAAGGAAGTAGAAATGCACAGTAACTGGTCTGTGATGGATGCTAGCATGATGAAAGATGGTGCTTACGAGTGACTGAAAATAATCCCTTACCTTTGGAAGCAAAATATCCTAAATTACTTGATATTGTAAGAGAGGAAAGTTGACACGAAGTTTGGTTCAAGTTAGGACTGTGCTAGCTGCTTTGCTCCTAGGTATCATGCCATCAATGTAAGAAAGTAGCATCAGATTAATACGACTTAGGGGATCTGTTATTGGCATACTTGTGCCTGCTGCATTGCTAAGCCGGTATTTCACATCAAGACTCTGCTTTTTTTCAGGGATAAAATATTGTTTCCTTAGCAACTGTGCTCAGTTATAAATTCTTCCTGGTATCAGGGCATGAATTTTGAACCAGAGATTGAGACCAACTCTGAAGAAGCCCAAACAAAGAATCTGTCCTTTCTGAAAGGGTCTGGTTGGCCCTTACTAGCAGACTGGGATGAAACTTTTTKGGGGGGATAATGGAAACATTTGAAAGTGATGAAAACCAGCAATGCATAGACAACATTATCCCATCCCACTGGAAGGAGTTATCTAGGTGTGCAGTGCTTGATAGATCCAATTCCTCCTTCTTCCCGAAAGCCCATAAACATATCATTTGGGCACGCTTGAAGTGAAATAAATGAGCCTTTTTTTTTTTTTTTTTTTTTTTTAGGATAATCTGTAAATAATCAAAACTTGATTTTAAAAGTCTACTACACCTGCATATCTGTTCTTGACTCAGGACATTGATTTAGCGGCTTGGCAGTTTACCTTTACGAGCAACGACCTGGGAACAATTTCTGTAGATGAAGTGACAGACCAGCTTGGACCTGCATTTCTCTGTAAAGGGGCCTCACTCGGACTGTATTTCTGCAATTTCTATATTTCTGTATATTATGTATTTCTGCAATTTCCCATTAGGCATCTATCTATTTCACATTCATAGGCATCTCTTACTAAAGTTCATTTWCACTTTATGAAGACAATGAGGGTTATAATTTACCAATGAATGTATAAAATTAAAGGTTTGCAGTGCCCCATAGTGATGCATGTGGGATACGTACCGCATTTTCTCCCTACACACCTTAGTGGCAGCATCGAGAGCAAGACGATCAGGATAGTATTAGTCCTTAAGGCCTTATCYGATGAAATTTTATAAATTCCACAATCTGCCCAATGATTTGCGGGCACTAATGATCACTACTAAAAACAAAAAACGATAAAAAAAACCAGAAACAACAGCTCTAGTGCTACAGACATGAAAGTGCTCTCCCTATGCATTTGCAGGAGGTGTTAATTTAAAGTAAAATTCTTTAAAAGAGGAAAGCAGAGTAGGGAAAATACAGTCATTAAAAAAAAAACAAAACCCACCAAACCTCCACTGTCCAAGAAAAGCCAGAGGAGACAATAACGACATTGTAGCAGAGAAGGGAGAGTATTCCTTGAAATTCCAATTGCATGCAAAAGAGATTCGGGGTATAAGTAACACTACCAAAGCAAGAGGTTGCTTTTCAARAACCACATCAGCCAAAGGAAATAATTGCTAGGATACATCTCAGCACTAAGTAACCCCTTGTGGGAGGAAAACATGAAAAAAACCAGTTGTGAATGAAGTCAAATCTCCAGCTGTAAGGTAGCTAACAGCACTATTTCCTTGTTGTTGTCATTTCCAACATTACAATGAAATGCTTCAACTTTTACCTTACGGAAATGTGTCTAATTCATCCATATTCTTCCATTTTGTTTGATATTAAGGCTAATCATTCAGTCACATGGGAAACTAAGACCACAGCTTTACATGACCAAATACTACAAGTTATAGACTGGCATAACTCTGGAGCGCCTACCGCTCAAACACGCCGGGAAGAACCGGGATGCGAGTTTTCCACTACAGTGTGTTTTGGGTTTGGCCACATACCAGGAGGATGAAGAGGAGCTTGTCTTGGCAGACAGTCAGGGTTCCTTTGGGCAAGCAGCAAAACAGCTTTGAAAACAGTTTATAACTGTGCACTCACAAGGAGAAATCGAGTCAAAGAATAAGTCTATGAGGGAAAAACTGCATCCAGAGAGTAGAACATGCCATTCAAAACTAAAAAGCTTAAGTTACATATTCCTAAACAATGGGCAGTTGATCCCAAAGCCTAAGTTGCACATACAAATGAGACTTCGAAACTCATGTGATGTGTATGAGTAACTGGGCAAAGCGAAGGGGCATCTAACTACTTATGTATCTCACGGTGCATGTTGTAGCTCAGTTACACAACAAATTTATTATGGGCTGAGGCAACTTGTGACTTYACAGTACACTGAGACATTAAACTCTCCAGGGTAGCATCCGGTAAGCATCTAAACCTTAGCTAGAGCACTTGAAGGTCTATACCTTGCAAGCCACTGTACCACAGTTGGCATCACTGATATCAGCAAGTACTGATAAAGGCTTTGAAATCCTGCAGGTGACCTTCCATCTCTCATGAAAATATACATATATATATTTTTTTAATAGTTTCACACTAAGCTATTGGCTCCCGCCTGCTAAAACAGACTATTCTATAATTCATCCTTATGCTGCTGAAGCAGGAAGTGAAAAAGCATTTCTGTTATTCAGTGTAAAATGAAAGCCAAATATTGATCTGAGTTTGTGTGCAGAAAAAAAGCTTGCATTTAGGTTTGCATTGTAATGGATTTAACCTTGGGAAGCATGAATGCATCTTTATTTCCATCAAAAATGCAGGATTTCTATGGATTGACTTTACAGCACCATACACAGCAGCATCACATTAATCACACAATGCAAAAGTTATTACAAATGAAAAACAAGCAATTTGGGGAGCGCACTGAGAGACCCTGTTTCGCTAGGCCTCCAGTAGGTCTGGGAAACACAGTTCTGCTTTGTGCGGGAAAGATGTTGTCCAGGAAATGCTTTTCATGTTTTAAAAACTACATTCAAGGATTTTTATAACATCGATAAAGGGGAATTGCTACTCACAGCAAAAGCTATTCCTCTCCATAAAGCACTTATTTCAACAAATGCATGGTTTATTACCCAGGTCTGAGCAAGTCAGTGTATTTTCTACAGCAGAAATGGAAATAGTTTTGAAAAAAAAAAATCACTAAGTTGAAGCAAACAGAATAAAAGCATCTGCACATTGGTAAAAACAGGAAGTCTGTAAACCCCTATAAAGCAGTATGCTATTTCATATAGCATGATAATAGATTACGCGATGCCATTAATGTTTGTTCAAAAAAGCAAAGGTGAACAAAACAAATGTTTGTTTGTTGTCTACGGTCACAACAGCAAGTTGACTGTATAAATAATTACCAGATCCAGGGCCAATAAGTACATTTCACTGTTTAGGAAAAGAAATTGAGTACTTACTAAATCTTTGAAAATAGAAGTTTTGAAGGTTTTACTTTCTGTCCTTCTCCACGTGCCTCCAAAWGAGCCACAGAGTATTTTTTAACAGAGCCTTAGCGATAACAAAATGCCTTTATGCCTCTGTGTTTTCRGGAATTGCAAATTATTTTCTTAAATAGATTAAAAAGAAAAATCAGGGCCTCTCTATGAACTCAGTACACATATCCTGGGGACCTCTTCTCATGCAGAAACTCAAAAAAAAACCCCAAAAAACTAAAAAAAAAGGTCAGGGTTTAAACTAAGCAGTAATTTAGAGCTCCTACCCTCCCCCCTGCTGTAAGAGCAGCAGCGCTCGCTGCATTACGGGCAAGTGTGGGAGCCAAGGGAAGGAAATGACACAGGCAGGAAAAAAGAGCAGATTGAGGGAAAGACTGTGCTGCAACTGGGCCTGCTCGGAGCATTTCGTTCTAGGCCTGCCACAGACCTTCAGCCTGGACGCCTCTTTCCTCGTTTCTTTGCAAGGGAGACAAGCAGAGGCATTTTAAGGGTGCTGAGAAGCTCTGCTGTGGATAACATGCAGGGAGCTGCTGTGGGAGCAGCTCGGCTGCATCGCTGGATTTAGGACAAGTTGCAACAGCATTAACTTACTGCTCTCTGGTCCCCTATCCTCATCAATTTATGAGGAACAAGATGGRATTGTAACACAATGCAGCCTGTTCCTCACAGTTCTGTGTAAGATTTGATCACGGTGGCATAATGCATTAGGATGAGATCATTCCTGTGTGGAGCAACCTGTTGGTGCAAAGGTTTACGAAACGCCTGGGAGCTTCTCCTTTGGCGCTCACAGCTTTGGAAATGGAAGTGCTATTGCCACCAGGGATCCAGCTCCTTCCTTCACAACTACAGTGAGCGCCAGGATCCCCGGAGAAGCCAACGGACTGGACAACACGAAACTGCCTTTCCTAAGGGAAGCGCACTCCTAGATCTAGACCCATCTGGTGTATTTCCAGAATCAAAACAAGCTCCATAGCTGCTTTAATAGCTGCTGTGCAGACACAAGGGAAATAAGGCCACTTCATACAGTTAAACAGTGCACTTTCTGCAACATTTGCAATACTTTACGAATTCACGACATAAATACAAGAGTTATGCGCTCAGGCTAGAGGAGTCAGGAAACTAAGCTGAGGAGGGGGCGGAAGAAAGAACCACTGAAGTCGCAGCCCCTCCAAGCAACGGGGCCCTGCGGCCGCTCCGCTTTGTGGGCAGGAGCCGGCCGGCGGCGCACGGAGACCCTGCCCGGAGCCCGAGGAGGCGGCGGGTCCCGCGTCCCCCCGGCGGCAGCGGCGCAGGCCGCAGCACCGGGATGACTTTGGCGGTTCCCAGGTGGCTACGGCAACTGCGACACGGCTCTGTCTCCCCCTCCCCAACTCCCTCCGCGTCCCGCTCTTACCCATGGCGGCGGCCGGGCCGGGCCGCGCGCGCGGCCCGCTGAGGTGCGGGGCTGTCACCGCCGCGGCTCCATGGCGGCCGGGCCGAAGGGGAGGGCTCACGGCCGCCGCCGCCACATTCCCAGGCCCCGCGGCCGCCGTGGGCTTCCGGCGGGCGCCGCTGCGGCCGCCTCCGCGGCGGCGGCGAGGGAGAGACGAGCGGGGAGGAGGGGTGGGCAGGGGCGGTCCCGGTCGCTCCCCGCCGCCGCCTCAGGGCTCCCGCGGCCGCGCGAGAAAAACAAACCGCTCGGCGGGCGCTGGCGCGCACCCGCCGCTCGCCCGCCTGCCAATCACAGGGGTCGACCGGCCGCCGCCCGCCAATGGTCGCTGCCGAGATACCCACGCGACAGCGCCGCCCGCCAATCGGCGCTCCCCCAGCCGCGCGCCGGACCCGCCCCCTCCGCCCGCCCCCTCGCTGCTAATCACTGGTGGGGCCCCGCTCGGCTGCGCATGGCCGACTGGCCCCGCCCCCTCGCGGCATGAGGGCGGGGCAACGGCAAGGCCACGCCCCATATCCCCTGTCAATCATGGCGAGTAGCAGCAKGGTGGGCCCGCCCCCGGGCAATATTAACATAATTAACAGAAACCGAATGACACCAGAGCAAAGCCACAGCTCTCTCCCCACCACCTCTCCTCTCTTCCACTGCTCCTATGGAGCACAGCTCTCCCTTGGACTCCCCAATTCACTCCATTTTCTTGCTCGTGATATGCTCAAATAATTTCTCACTGCTCCAAAAATTATTCAAGAAAAGGAAAAAAAAATGAAAATCTCATAACTGAAAGAGGCCCCGTGGTTTTAAGGTGATTTTCACAGGTTTTACAACAAAGACTATCAACATCTAATCTAACCCTAGCACTTAGCGCTATCCCTGCTGACACGCACATCATTCCTGAAGGGAGTCCAAAATCTGTTGCACCAAACATCCATTGCTCTAAATGAACGCGGAAAATTAAGGAGCAATGACAGTGATGCCACTACACTAACAAGATGAGCGTAATTTGGGGGTCTGGCTGAAGCTTGAATAGGATTTTAGTCTTCCTATTTAGAATTAGTCATGTCCAGCTTGTAGCCATTTGTTTCCATGTCAAGATTATCCTTTAATTCAAATAATCCTTTCCAACCCCTGTTTTCCTTGCTAAAATATCAAGACAATAATCATACCTCCTTTCAGGTTTCCCTTATAAAAGACAAGTAAGCCAATCTCTTTTTATAATACCAGCCTGATATTTGTAGCATCCCCTCAAAAGCCTTTTTTATCCCTGTCCTATTTGAATTCACCTCTCTTGTATGACAGTATCACTATTCCACTTAAACCAACTTTTTTACGTGCTTTTCTTGCAGCCTCAGTGTAGCTCATTATCCTTTATCAACCAATAAACCTACCTTCTTTTCCTCAGTCACTTTTACGTAATAAGCTCTTAGCAACTTTCAMAAATTTATTCTTGTCCCTAAGCTTACCCACCTTGCTGTTTCTGTTACTGCGTTTCACCTCATCTCTATTTCTCCCTGTTTAAAGTCACCAAGTGCTTAASGTATTCCAATCTCTTGTATTATAAAGCCCCCGCTTTTGCTCAGATTTAATTATCACATACTTTTTTCACATGTGCATGCACACGTACACATGCCAGCATCATTACTAAAAGGTTTAAATGAGATTACTCACAGGACTAGGACTTTAGAAATTTAGTATTAATTCCCTATGGCACCAGCTCCGATGYCGAAACACTTTATTGCCACCTCATCTTTAAGTATTTTTTGGTCTGTCTTCCAGTTTCTTATTTGGCACCACAGAGAATTCATAGTTCAAGTCCTGTTAAGAGTCCTATTGCATGAAAAAGTCATTTCTTGACAGTTTTACTATCTACTTAATATTTATGCTGATTTTGAGCACAAGAATCAGGCCATCCATTTTACCATAACACAGTACAAACTGATATTTTTTATCAGTTTGCGGTATATTTTGTGGTTTTCCATGTAGGTTGCCCACATCCCTTAAAAACTAATACTTCTGAGAACAGAAGCTTACTTTTAGTGAAYAGCAGCTACAAAACCTACTAAACTTTTCAACCTGAACTTACTTAGCAGCCTCGAGACTTTCCATGCAAACTCATCAGTAGACACTCACTGAGTTTCTTCGGGAAYTAGTATGTTTATAGTGAGATCAGTTAGTCCATTTATTTATAAGAAACCTTATAGAGGCTTAATTGTTTAATGCCATAACATAGCATGAAGTAAGAAACATTGCCTCGTTTTAGGGATTTAAGCATCTTAAGAGCACTGCAAGGAAAACCAGTGACCTGTCAGAAGTTGCAGAGGAAGCCTGAATGGACCTTTGGGATCTAACTCCTGCCATCTATTTCCAATCTCTTAATCACTATGCCACCTTATTATTTTCTCTATTTTGCTAGGAATTCCGTTTTCTCAGACATACCTGTTTGCCTCTTCTTCTTACTATCAGATGCACTATTCCTTCTTTCCTTCCTGTTTCCGTCCTTCTTTAGCAACCTGCATCCTTCCTGGGTAGCCCAGCAGCCACCAGGCTGTGCCTTGTCCTTTAGCAAGACTTCCTTACACTGCACAGCCAGACATGCTAAACAGGAGCAGCGTGAAGAAAATAAGTTTTGGGGGGATGTCCCATTTTTGGGACAAATGTCTCAGAGCTCTGAGACATGAAAGTACCAGCTACARCCTTGACTTCTGCTGGGTGTGAGGAAGCTTCATGTTTATTGACTATCCCCACACGACCACATCACCGCCCAAGTGAAGCGCGCSGCTCCTGGGCACAGGAGGTCCCTCCTGCCGCCTGCAGCTGCCCTTAGATGTCATCCTGCAAAGAGAGAGGMGGCAGCTGGGGCCGACGCTGCTGCAGCTGCTGCTGCGGGGGGACGTGACCCCTCAGCTCTACTCACATCAAGGTCGTCCATGGTGGGAGGGGGGCCTTTGTCCGTGACCTTCTGCAGAAGCTGAGCAGGGAACAAGGGCCGTGGAGTCGCTGGGCACCCACCGCTGGCCCACACCCCCGCCACGCAGCACCCGGCCCTGCAGCTCCTCACCTCTGCGTACTGCTCCACCATGGCCCTCTCCACCTCCTCATCTCCCTCCCAGTCCCGCCAGTTGTCGAAGTCCACTGAGAGCCAGGCTGGCTGCGGGCACAGAGAGGATCCTCAGGGGGCAGACAGGCCAAGCTCTAGACAGGCCAAGGGCTCCCCAAGGAGAGACRCTGCTTGAGCACAGAGCTGGCCTGGGACAGGGCCCCCCGCATCCTGGCGCTGGCCTGCGCACCTTGATGTTCTCCTTGGTGATGCGAGGCCAGGCCACCTTCTCCTTCCATTTCCTAACGAAGCACGTGATGGAGCGGTCAGAGCGCTTCTCCTGCGAGTCCTGCGGGAGAGTGGGAGGMATCACCGGAGCGCCCGCTCAGCCCCGCTCTCTCACCAGCATGCCCAGGGCAGGCACCCAGCTGCAGGGYGCACGCAGGGTTCCAGTGCAGAGGGATGTGGGCAGGGGATGTTCCTGGCCCAGGCTGTGTTGGGAGCGGTGGCAGATGCAGAGCCAGGGCTCTCCCATGTGCTCCCCGCAGCCCCCCACTGCCTCGGGGACAGGCACTGGGGTGCGTGGATCGCTGCTGCAGGCTGTGTCAGAGCGACCCGAGCCATGTAGCGCTGCACCACAGGCTGGGCCAGCCTGGTCTGCAGGCGGCTGTGCGAGGGAAGGGGCTCACCTTGGAGTTCACACGGGCGTACAGCTCGATCTCGTTGTAGAACTGCACTCCGTCCGCGTTGCGGCAGCTGCCGAGATACAACCGGAGCCCTGGCAGGTGAGGCCATGGGCCTCCGCTGCCTACTCTGCGAGTCCCACCGTCCCATGCACTGCTGGCCCCACCTGAACACGAGCCGCTGCTCCTCAATGGACACCTGCACATCGCGGCTGTCCTCCACGCAGAACTCGAGGAACACGTAGCGCGGGCGGTCGTACCACAGCGTCTTGGCCGGTTGCCTTGGGGAACGTGTGACCCCGTGGGTGCTCCGAGTCCGGCTTCACTGTCGGACGCAGCTCCCGGGGCGCCGATGACACCCGCGCTCCGCGGCCTCTCCCCGGGGCTCCGCTCCGGGCAGTGGGTGCCCGCACTCACCTCGCCATGTCGCCGCTCGCCCGCTCCGCCCCGCCCCGCGCTATTTCGGGCCGGGGGCGCGGCCCGGACACCGACCGGCCGCAGCGCCGCCCCGGGACCCCCCTCCCCTCCCGCCGAGAGCGGCGTCCAGAGCCAGGACACCGGCCACCCCATCCCGGGGCCGCGGGAGGAGCGGCCGGGGGGCGGCGGCGGCGGGGGTGGGGGGGCTACCCCCCGGTGTCCCCAGTGACCCCCCCCCCGTGCTGCGCGCCGCCGCGCCGCATGGGGGCACCGTGGCAGTGTGTGGGGGGGTGCTGCTGTGCCAGGGTGCTGCGCGCCGCCGCGCCGCATGGGGGCACCGTGGCAGTGTGTGGGGGGGCGCTGCTGTGCCAGGGTGCTGCGCGCCGCCGCGCCGCATGGGGGCACCGTGGTAGTGTGTGCGGGGGTGCTGCTGTGCCAGGCTGCTGCGCGCCGCCGCGCCGCATGGGGGCGCCTGGTGCCGCCGCCGTCTCGCCCCGTGTCGTGTCACGTCAGCAAGATGGCGGCCATGATGCGGTGCCGGTAGCAGCCATGGAGGCGGAGAGCGGCCTGCAGGGCCCTGGGGAGCGCTGGGCGCCGGTAGGCGCCGTGTCGGCCGCTGTGGCGGAGGAGGAAGAGGAGGCCGAGGAAGAAGAGGAGGAGACGGCCGCGGCGGCAGCGGGCGGGTCGCCGCGGTCGGTGCCGCGGCTGCGGGCGGAGCGGCGGCGGCTGCACGAGGCGCTGCTGGCTCTGGCCTCGCACTTCGCGCAGGTTCAGTTCCGGCTGCGGCAGGTGGCGCGGGCCGGGCCGGCCGAGCAGCAGCGGCTGCTGCGCGAGCTGGAGGATTTCGCCTTCCGCGGCTGTCCGGCGCCGCTGCCGCACGGCCTGGGCGGCGCGCCGGTGAGTGGCCCCGCACGGCCCAGTGCCTCCCCGGGCCGCGGCGAGCTCGGCTGTGCCCCGGCCGGGTGTGCGCCCCTCCCGTGGCAGCCTCTGGGGCCGTCTTTACACCTCGCGCCGGGGCACGGTCACGTTTCTGTGATCATGCTCTGTGTATGAGCAAGTCCTCCTGCTGGGAACAGCACACAGCAGTGTATGCTGCTGAAGTGCCTGAGCTGGAGCAAAATGYCACTATGCAGTGATCCTGTGCTCTAGGTTTGGCTACGGCACTTAACGTTTGCTCTTCTTTGCCAAAACCTCTGTTTCAGAGCGAGCAAGAGAAGCAGGAACGAATTGAGGTCCAGAAGGAAAAGCAGAGAGAGCTGATCCTGCAGCTCAAGACACAGCTGGATGACTTGGAGACTTTTGCTTACCAGGAGGGCAGCTATGATTCTCTGCCACAGTCTGTGGTCATGGAAAGACAGCGGGTAAGGCCTCCTCGTCCCCTGCTCCTTTCTCCGCATTCAGGAGCCTTTTAAAGACTGTGGGATGTGTTCTGGAGCTTATGGGCTGCACAATGGGTTTRGGCTGTTCACTTCTGTGTTTTGCAGATGATTATAGATGAGTTAATAAAGAAGCTGGACATGGACTTGAATGAAGATATTGCAACGCTCTCTCCAGAGGAGCTGCGGCARCGTGTGGACACCGCGATAGCACAAATTGTTAATCCGGCCAGAGTGAAGGAGCAGCTGGTGGAACAACTCAAGACGCAAATAAGGGATCTTGAAATGTTCATCAACTTCATTCAGGGTCAGTGTGAATTGTATTTGGGCAAGCAGATCAAATTTTGTAATTTCCTGCAAGGTTATGAGGTGGGAGGCCACAGATGTCAGAAGACATAGGAGGGTTTTCTGAATCACGGGGAAATTCAGATCTCTAAGATGATGGTGAGGAGAACTTGAGACTGACCAACAAGATGTAGAGAAGTTTAAGGGAATATTGACATAAACATTGAGGATATGCAGCCTAGATTTACAGCAGTGTGAAATAATAGTATGCGTTTCTTGTTCTAGATGAAGTTGGGAGCCCTAGTAAGGCGGAAGATGGACACTGCGATTGTTCAGGCAGTGGCTCCTACAAAGCAAATTCACGATCTTCTGGAAATAGAGGTGGGCCCTGCTTGTCTCTGAGCTCTCAGCACTGTTTCCCTGCTGTTCCTTTGCTGTTCAGCTTGCATGAACTGGCGCTTGGTCACTTTAGACTGATTTGCTGTCTTCTTGGCTGTTGGTTTCTATTCTTTCGTGATCCCCCTGGCAGAAGGTCTGTGTCCAGTTCCTTTCCCTTGCTTGCACAGGATCATTCATGCTCCCCTAGCACAAATATGTGCTGTATACGTGGCACAGAGATGTGGGATTGGTCCTTAGCTGAGTTCAGGAGTAGAAGAATTTCTGAATAGGAGCACAAAATGCAGACATATGGAACATCTCTGTCTTCCATGTGCCTTTGCCCTACATTGTAAAATTCTTTGAAGTAACCAGTGCAAAGGCCTCGATTTGAGTACATGTGCTCACTGGAAAAGCTTTTGTAGGGTTTCTTCTCTGATGCAGGATTTGAGACAGACTTGGTGGTTGAGAATGGGTTGTGTTTTGTACTTTGTTTTCTGGTTTGCCACAGTGCTGTGAAACTGGAAGTGCTGGCATCTGTTCTACTGCCAGAAACTCCTAAGCAGATACAGAATCTGATGGAGGAGAAGACACTTTTACTCCTTTTGCGTATGAAAGCAGAGATCTTAATCAGAGTTTGTTTTTCTTTTYTCCTTTCTAACCTAATTAGTGAATCCAGAAGATGCCAGAAAGATGCGAGAAACTGGCCTGCACCTCATGCGTCGCATGCTTGCTGTGCTGCAGATATTTGCAGTGAGTCAGTTTGGTTGTGCTGCTGGTCAGATTCCTCGTACGCTCTGGCAGAAGGATCAGGCCAACAAGGACTATTCCCCCTTGATCAAGAAACTGGAGGTGTCCGTGGAGCGAGTGAGACAGCTGGCAACAAAACAGCAGCAGGAAGATCACGTTATCAGCTACTCCAGCATGCAGGACATTCCCTTAGGAGGGAGGGATGAGCTGACTCTCGCTGTGCGGAAGGAGCTGACCATCGCTCTGCGAGACCTCATGGCTCACGGGCTCTACGCCTCCTCTCAAGGCATGAGCCTGGTGCTGGCGCCCATCGCGTGCTTAATTCCTGCATTCACCTCATCACCGCAGACCATGCACCCTTGGGAACTCTTTGTCAAGTACTACAACGCTAAGAACGGACAGGCCTTCGTGGAATCTCCAGCTCGAAAGCTCTCTCAGTCCTTTGCGTTGCCTGTGACAGGAGGAGTTGCTGTTACCCCTAAGCAGAGCCTGTTGACAGCGATTCACACRGTCCTCACCGAGCACGATCCTTTCAAGCGCAGCGCAGACTCTGAACTGAAGGCCCTCGTGTGCATGGCATTAAACGAGCAGCGTTTGGTCTCCTGGGTAAACTTGATCTGCAAATCTGGAGCTCTGGTGCAATCTCACTACCAGCCATGGAGCTACATGGCAAACACGGGCTTTGAGAGTGCGCTCAACATTCTCAGTCGCCTGAGCAACTTGAAGTTCAACCTCCCGGTTGATCTGGCTGTCCGGCAGCTGAAAAACATCAAAGATGCTTTTTAATGTGTTTTTATTAAGATCATCCACTTTCCTTAAGTACGCAGCTGCTGGGCTCAAGAAGTCTGGCGTTTTTAAAAAACAGTTTTGGCTCTTTGAAATTTGCATTTGCTTTGGGGATAATCTTACAGTGATACTGGAAATCTGTGTTTTAAAAGGCTGCCCATGCAAAAATGCTGGAGGTTGGGGACTGCCCATCATCTCTCCTTGTCCTGTTTCTGCAACTCTGAATAGCAAAATTGCTTCACTGATCAGCAGATGTCCCTAAGTGCTGAATGTGTTGGGTGGTCCGAGGGGGGTGCCCACTAGTGCCCGTGTTGTGTCTAGGTGATGCCTTCTTGAACCTGTGGTCCACATGGTGCCGTGACTCTTCATGTGAGGAGCGAGACAACCCAGTGGCCGCCCAGGCTGCTTGGCACGAGGGTTTGCCTGGCTTTTCCCTATGCAAACGCAATGGAATGGGGGGCAGGTTATGCTGACCGCAGTGCCCCTGTACCTCCCGCGCTGCCGCTCCGGTGGTCSTTGGGGATGCGATGGTCCCCGGTCGCCACAGCCAGACTGAGGTTCGGCTGGCTCTGTGTGAGGTCCCAGAGCCCCATTCTCTGCCCAGGTGCGCGGGAGTCGCAGCAGGCGCATTAACGGCTTCACAAATATCCATGTGGGACAAATCCTTTTCCGGTTACGTGTCTTAATGTGTGTTCGGTGTGGTCGATGTCGGCCGCGTGCTTTGTAATGTTTATGGTGGTCTCGGGGTTCCAGTTGACGTGCCTCTCTGGTGGTTCCTGCGGCCTCCTCCGCCTTGTGTGCGGGGCTGGGCCGGGCTCTGGAAGGGGACAGCGCCGGGCGGGGGGCGGGGCGGGGGGCGGTGACGGGACCCGGGCGGGGGGGGCGCGGCCCGGAGCGGCGACTGCCCCGCCCGTTGCCAGGCAACGCTCTGTGTGTAAGGGGTGTTCCCGCGCATGCGCCCCTCGCGCTCGGCCGCGGAAGCGGAAGTGACGCGCGAGCGCGTCCTCCTTTTCCCCGTGCGGGCGCCATCGGCGGCGGAGTTTCGGTGAGCGGTGGCGGATCCGGCGCCATCGGCGYGAGGAGGGGGGGCGGGTCCGGCGCCATCGGCGCGGCGGGGCCGGGGGCGGCGCGGGAGGACGCCGAGCCAGCCGCGGTGTCTCTGCAGACATGGGCAAGTTCATGAAGCCGGGGAAGGTGGTGCTGGTGCTGGCGGGCCGCTACTCGGGCCGCAAGGCTGTGATCGTGAAGGTGAGTGTGGCCGCAGAGCCGCGGGGCGGCGCGTGGGGCTGCTCCTCACTGCTGCCTCCTGTAGAACATCGATGATGGCACCTCCGACCGACCCTACAGCCACGCGCTCGTGGCCGGCATCGACCGCTACCCGCGCAAGGTGACGGCCGCCATGGGCAAGAAGAAGATCGCCAAGCGCTCCAAGATCAAGTCTTTCGTGAAGGTCTACAACTACAACCACCTCATGCCCACTCGGTGAGCGCAGCCTGCTGCAGCCCATGCAGGGACAAGTGGGCTCTCTTCACCCTGCGCCACCTCTTCCCCTTGCAGCTCCAGCTCCTCCGGGTCTCCTGCTTGTCTGCTCTCTACAGAAAGCAGATGCTTCCTTTTTTTGTCAGATGGGGTTCTCCCAGATGCTTCGGGGCTGGTGCATCCCCGGGACCGGGGAATCTGAAGTGCTGTGCTTTGTGCTAGGACATAGGTCTGATGCGTCCCAGCTGTGCCGGTTCCCAACCACACTGTTCTTTTCTCAGGTACTCCGTTGACATTCCTCTGGACAAAACAGTTGTCAACAAGGACGTGTTTAGGGACCCTGCGCTAAAACGTAAAGCGAGGCGTGAAGCTAAGGTGAAATTTGAGGAAAGGTGAGTTTTCAGGTTGGCTTTACGGTGGTGGCAGTGCTTGTGCCTCAAGTGATGCTTCTGCACTGCTTCCCTGGGAGCACCAGTGGTTTGGAGCCYGAGTCCTGTGAGCCCTGTGCTGCTTTGCATGCAGAGCTGCTCCCCTGTGGGCCGAGCGCTTGTGCGGCTGCTCTGGGGCCTCGGCTGCCTTGGGAGCTACAAAGCACCTCTCCTGGGGCCTTGGGCTCTGCCCGAAGCTCGGCGAGGCGACGTCCTCCCTTCCCTGCGCTTTGTACCTGCAGCGCGGGAAGCGGTCGTGCCGCAGCAGGGAGACGCGGGGCTCAAAGCCAGGGACTGCCAGCAGCAGCTCCTCCATGCAGCTTATACGGGGTGCTCCCCGTATACTGCAGCTTGTCTACTGTATGTCTACATTATGTCTAATGTATGTCTACTGTATGACATACATTCTGTAARACTGCAGCTTGTTCCTTGGGGTGGGAACTCCTGCAGTTCAGGGGTGCTCCAAGTGCCTCTGGAAGCTCCTGGCAGCTGTCCTGGGCCCTTGGCAGGCAAAGGGGCAGGAGGAGACAATGTGAGTCGCCATTAGGTAGCGGGAGTGCGCGGGGCTGGGGCAGGACGYGCACCGCTCCACAGGGCTTTGTGCTGCTCCCACTTGGCTGAGCACAGTCAGTCTCCTGATGCTCCTGTTCCTCTTCCAGATACAAGACCGGCAAGAATAAGTGGTTCTTCCAGAAGCTCCGATTCTAACCTTGTATTTAGGCTGCATCAATAAATGTGTATGGAAAAAAACACTTGTTACTTGTTTAAAAACAAGGCCTTTTTCTTACTGGTGAAGACTTTTTTGGTTTGTGTTTCCTTCACAAATTAGTTTCAGCAGAGGAACATTTAAAAGGATGTCACAGAGTGGTGTAGAACCTGACACAGGAGTGAAAGGCTTCGCTATCATAGAATGCTTAAGGTTGGAAGAGACCTCTAGAGGTCATCTCGTCCAACCCCCCTGCACACGCAGGGTGGCACAGGGCTGTATCCAAGCAGGTTTCAAAGATCTCCAGAGAGGAGACTCCACCACCTCTCTGGGCAGCCTGTTCCAGTGCTCTGTCACCCTCCCTGGTAAGAAATTTGCCACYGTCCTCTGCCTTTTGCAGTTTTGCAGGGGGTTAAGAGACCTGCTCTACTCTGCCCTTCCCACTGCTGAAATGTGTGTGGGGTTAAGCGGGGCGGGKTCTTTTTCTGCTTTTTATGACTCGCCGGGCTTGGGCGGGGGCCGGGGTGATGGCAGCCGCTGGGTGAATTCCCGCCCCTGCTCCCGGGACGGGGGCCGCGGGCGGCACTGCCCGCTGTTCAGCCCTGCGCGGGGCCGGGCGGAGCTCGGGGCCCTGGCCGGGGCGGAGCCGCGGCCGAAGCGAAAGCGAAACGGGTCGGGGTTCCGCGGTGGTCGCGGGAGCGCAGGAGGCAGCGGCAGAGCCGAGCAACCCCCGCGAGCAGCGGAGCCCGCGCGAGGTGCCCGGCCGGGGTGCGCGGGGATGGACGTGGAGATGGAGCCACAGGAGGTAGCGGCGGCACCGTGGAGGGAGGGGGGTGCGAGATGCCACTCAGGTCCTGACCCCTCTGGGCCCCCAGGAGCCCTTCACCCACCTGGGTGTGCAGAGTGGCCCTGTGGAGCTGAYCCTGGAGCGAGCCCAGGTTGAGATCCAGCGCTGCAAGGTGTGCACGGCTGCAACGTGCTCCGGGACAAACCCCACGCCGAGCCCTGCAATGAGCCCTTGCGTCAGACCCCCCTCCCAGCCCAGTGCCAAACCCCACACTGAGACCTGTGCCAAATCCACTGAGCCCTACAATGAGCCTCGTGCCAAGCCCCACCCCAAGCCCTGCAACAAACCCCACTCTGAGCCCTGCAATGAGCCCTGTGCCAGACCTTACACCTCACCAAGCCTGCGCTGCCTCTGGCCCCTCCAACCTCGCTCCAACCCCATGGCCCCCTCATCCTGGCACCCCTCGTCCTCTGTGGCCAGAGCATCRTGGGAGGGCCAGATCGCGGCCGCTCGCGTCTGACGGTTCCGTTCAGGAGCTTTGCATTGCTCTGGAGCATGACTGCATGGAGCTACAAGCAGCCAAGGAAGACACAGAGCAGAAGCTGGAGGAACTGTGGAAAGAGGGAGAACGACTACACGCACGTATCGAGAGACAAATAACTCTGAGCAGGATGTCCGCTGCCTCCTGCCAGGTCAGTAGTTGGGGGAGTTGCCCRGGGTTTGGAACGTGGCAGCAATGGCCTGGCCCGGCACTCACCTCTGCTCCAAGATGACTTTGCTCTGGACGCACAGAGGTCTCATGACCCTCACCGAGATCCTGATGAACGCACAAGGGTCGTGCACGGTATGGGCCGGTGCAATGCTCAGGAGCAGGGGCTCGCAGCCGTTCCAGCGGGACAGTGTGTGCGTGGGGCACGTATCGAAGTCCTGCTGACAGGTCCCTCAGTGCCCGCTGGTTGTGCTTCCAGGAAAACGTTCGTTTGGCAAAGGAGGAGGGGTACAAGCTGAGGCAGGAGAAGCAGCTGTTGAAAAAGCAACTGCAAGAAGCACAGCGGAGGGGTCCCACAGAGGATCTGACAGCGGTAACTTGGGAGTGAGGGGACAACCTGGCTCATCTCTGCTCTCCTGGGGGGGCAGCTAGGCTGTGGGTGACCACAGCTGGTACAGGAATGAGCAGCCCAGCTTCTACAAGCTGGTGGGACCAAAGTGCCAGCAGCTTTGGGGCATGGCCAAGGCCTCAGAGAGCCTCTGCTAAAGTCCCCCAGCTGCCTCTGCTGAGCCCTGCGCTTGCTCCCTGCCCAGTGGGGACAGGTGCAGGGCAGGTCACCTCTGCACCTGCCCTAGCTGCTGCCCGCCCTGCCGGAGAGGTCCATGGTGTTCAGAGGCCAAGTGACAGACACAGTGGACACTGGCATGCTGACGCTCACGCCGCGGGTCCACTACCCGCTGCCGGGGGGCTCAGCCCTTGTCACCTTTGAGCAGTCAGAAGGTAGGAGCYGGGGTGCTGTCCTGCACCTCTTGGGGGTGCAGGTGGCCTCCCACTGCACGGCACAGTCCTGCATCCTGACCCCCTGCTCACTGAGCCTAGTGCTTCTAGCTTCCCTGGCTTGCAGTGGCCCAGAGGATTGTTGCAATGAAGGAACATGTGGTGGAGCTGAGCCACGGCGAGGAGCCAGACCAGTGCCGCATGCGTGTGCAGGCAGAGCCCGTGGAGCTGCTGCTGCCATCTGCCTTGCAGGTAGGGCCCTCACAGGCCGGCCTTGGGACCCCACTGGCATCGCTGCYATGTGCCCACCACCCTATGTCCCACAGCTCAACTTGAGCCTGAGCTGCCGGCGGGTGCTTCTCTCCGGCCTGCCCAGACTGARCATGCTCGAGGAGACGCTGCTGGACAAGCTGGAGCTCTTCTTCAGCAAGACCAAGAATGGGGGTGGCGAAGTGGAGAGCTTGGAGCTCCTGTGCGGTGGCCAGGTGGTGCTGAGCTTTGCAGAGGACGGAGGTGCGTGGGGGGCTAGGTCTGRGGATGGCATGGGCTGTTGCGGGAGGTCAGGGCTCTCCTTGCCTCCTGCAGTGGCTGAGCAGCTGATAGCCAGAGGCCTCGTCCAGTTCCCCTTCAAGAAAGACAAGTACGAGATCAAAATAACGCCCTATGTGAGTGGAGATGTCACCAGCCTGCAGGTGAGGACGTGAGCCCTGGGCACAGCAGTGAGCACACAGGGGCTCCTGTTACCCTGCCCATCCCAGCTCCTTGCCAGCCCTTCCAAAATGACCTCAGAAAGGGATGGTTCCCCACGTGAGGGCACGCACACTGCGAGGCCTCGTGTGATTCCCCTGCCGCGCAGCTCCGGCCAGCCCGCTGCGCCCGAACTGTGCTGCTGCGGGAGATTCCGGACGTGCTGGACGCMGAGCTCATGCGGGATGCCCTTGAGATCCACTTCCAGAAGGGCAGTCGTGGCGGGGGTGAGGTGGATGCTCTTGGCTACGTCCCCAAGGGGCAGTGGGCTGTGGCCATCTTCGAGGAAGATGCGGACTAGCCCTTGCCACTGGATGGCTCAGAGCCCTCAGTCTCCATGTGGGAATAAAGCTCTTTTGGGCAAGTCCACGTTGTTGATCTGTGGAAGGGGATGGCAGGGCTGGGACGGTGTGCGGGGCTGGGCTGGGCTGAGGGGTGCAGATGGGCTATGTGACCAGGCCAGGGCTGTGGGATGTGGGGTTTGGAATGGGATGTGGAGCTGGGATGAAATATGGGATGGGATCTCAGGGGGCGGTTGGATTGAGATGTCAGTATGGGATGAGATGTGGGGATAGGATGTGGGGCCAGGGCGAGGCCGTGGGGCCGGGATGGCAACAGTGCGAGCATGGGCAGGGGTCGCGGGGGCTGCGGGGTCTGAGCACCCACCGCGGGGAGCCGGCGGGGCTGCCGTGGCCC